GGATCAGATTAGTTCTCCATTGCATTCTCTGTATGTTGACGCTTCTAGTGTGTCCGGATCTTATTACCATGTGTGTAGTACAGACACCCCTGCTGTGCCAGACGTAGGACCGTTTGCTTTGTCTAGTCTAGGCTCCCCACTCGCTCTTCCTTCGTCTGCCGCTACTATCTCGCTGTCCTTCACACTTGACTCCGGTGCATCTGCCTGCTTCTTCCGCGACCACGCCACACTCACGCTACTTGCGACGTCTGCCGCTGTCGCACATGCTGACCCCTCCTATGCTCCTGTCGTTGCTCGCAGCTACACTACCCTTCCCTATCCAGCGGTCCCCTCGGGTTCCCTTACAGGCTTGCACATCCCTTCGTTCTCCAGGAACTTAGTTGGTGTCGGCTGTCTTCAGGACCTCGGCATCACCACTACATTTCCTGGTAACGAACGGTACGCTGTTTGTACCGAGGCCGCCTCAGGTTCCCCCCTTGCAACGTTCCCCCGAAACCTGGTGTCTGGCCTGTTTACACTGAACACTACTCCCCCCCCCCCCCCCCCCACGTTGACACGTCCCCCCCGAGCCCTGCGTCTATCCAGATCGCTGCGGCTTGCTCGTGTCGGTCGCTCACCCACCCGTCGCTTCTGTGGCACCACCGCCTAGGTCACCCCGCACTCCCGCGGCTGCGTCACATGTCTCAGCACGGTCTTGTCCTAGGTCTCCCTATATCGCTTCCTGCTGTGCCACCTTCATCCGCGCCACCGTGCACGCCCTACGTCAAGGGTCGGCAGCGCCGTGCTCCTCACTCCTCCTCGCTTCGTCCCGCCACCGCACCCCTCCAGACCCTGCACCTGGACGTCTGGGGCCCAGCCCCCGTCCCTGAACCGCGTCGTGAGCGCTACTTTCTGGTGCTCGTGGATGACTATACGCGCTACATGACAGGGTTTCCCTTGGAGCGGAAGGCCAATGTGCCCGACGTTCTTATCCCGTGAGTCGTAGCTGCATGCCTCCGCCACGGTCTCCCAGTGTTGTGTCTCCACTCCGACCGTGGCGGCGAGTTCGCCTCTGGTCGGCTTGGACAGTTCTGTCGTGCGGAGGGCATCACCCAGTCGTACACACTACCACAATCCCCGTTTGCTACACCGCTCACCGGCTTAACCTTTGACCGCGCTCCCAGCGGCCACAGGTTTTCGCCGACCCTTCTTTGGAGTGGGTTCCCTGGTGACGCGTCTGCATTCCAGATCTGGGGCTGCCTCGCTCACGTTCGTGCCTCTGGCACTGACAAGCTCACTACCTGCACTGTCCCCTGTGTCTTCCTCGGTTTCCCCATAGACTCGTCTGACTGGCACTTTTACCACACGCTGTCTCACCGCTTCTTTCACTCCCGTGACGCCACTTTCGACGAGTCTGTCTCCTTTTACCACCGCTTTCCCCACCGAGGTCCCCTAGCTTCCCCTCCTCTGTTTCTGGTCGCCACTCCCCTAGTAGCCGCTGCTCACCTTCCTCCCCGTCCTGCTCTGTCTGGTGTGTCTCACGTCACTCCCACCCCGTCGGTTGTCCCGGTCGAGGAGTAGGCTGACTCTGGTGGCCCTGTGGTGCAATTCTTGTCACCTGTCTCTCCCCTGGTGTCTCGTGCTCCACTGTCGCAATCGCCATCGCAGCAGCAGCAGCCGTTCGTGGACTCTGGGGGTGCTGGCGTTGAGGAGGGTGCTAGTTCTGGGGTTCCTGTCGTGGCTTGTCCCTACGGGCTTGGGGGTGGCACCGGTGCTGGAGAGGGTTCTTACTCTGGGGGTGCTATTTCTCGGGGTGCTGAAGTGGAGTGTTCTGGAGGTAGTCACGGTGCAGCTGGCGGTCCAGGTGTCGGCGTCGAGCAGCAGCAGCAACAGTCGCCGCCGGTGTCCGCCCTTCGCCTGCTCGGTCTTCCCTCCCCTGACCGCTCGGTTGTGCCTCCCCCGCTGCCTCCTCCCCTTCCTGTCCTCGGTCCTGTGTTTCCTCTGCCGGACTTGTCCCTGGCTCGTTTCCCACCTTGTTCCCCTCATGTTACTCCTCCTTTGTCTCCTTACCTGGCGCCTCTGTCTCAAGTCTGGTCTCTCCGTCCCTCTCGGGCTCGTCTTGTCTCTCCTGTCCCGCGATCTCACCCTATGTTGTTTCGTTCCCACGCATCTCGTCCTCCCCTCCTGCCTTCCCTTCCTCCGTCATCGCTCGCTGTCGCGCCTCCCCCACTGCCTGACTACCTTCGTGCTGCTCGTTCTCTTGTTCCTCCGGTCCTTGCCTCCCTCATTATCGACCCATCTGTTCTTGTCTCCCATCTTGATGCTCTTGTCGCTGCTGTCGCTGACTTCGCCTCTACCCGACTTCTTGACTACGCCACCACTCTGGTCTCTGACCCTTTCCGTCCTCCGTCTGTCAGGGGTGCTCCTGCCCTTGGCAGTGACGTCCTAGAGGACAGGCAGTACAAGCTTGCTTTCCTTTTCGAGGTTGCTCCCCATCTCTGCTCCATGCTGCTAGTCTCTGAGGATGACCCAGACGCCTTTGATATCCCGACCCCTCGCACTTACGCTGAGGGGACCTCGGGACCCTCGGCCTCTCCGTGCATAGCTGCCATAGAGCAGGCGACCTACGTCGACGCAGTTCCCCCACCTGGGGTGAACAAATTCTACGGCTGATGGCTCTTCAAAGTGAAGCGGCCCTCTGGAGAGCCACCTATGTTCGAGGCACGCTATGTGGCTAGAGGCTTCAGTCAGCGAGAGGGGGTGGACTTCTTTCAGACCTTCGCCCCGACCCCGAAGATGACTACTCTTCGGGCAGTGCTATACGTAGCAGCATAGCGTGACTACGAGCTCCACACCCTCGACTTCTCCATTGCTTTTCTTCAGGGAAGCCTACACGAGGAGGTCTACCTGTGCCAACCGCAGGGCTTCACCGGCACCTTCCCTCCTGGGACCCAGTGGCTCCTCCGGCGCCCGGTCTACGGCCTGCGACAGGCGCCCTGTGAGTGGCACGACATGTTGCGTGCTACGCTAGCTGACGTGCAGTTCTTTCCGTCCTCTGCGGACCCTTCACACTTTGTTCGTGCTGGCCAGACTCCGTTCTACATCCTTGTCTACGTAGACAACCTGGTCTTCACTACTGCAGACAGAGACGCGCTGGCCTCCATGAAGGTCGAGCAGCTGAGGAGACATACCTGCACTGACCCAGGAGAGCTGCGCCGCTACCTTGGCCTGCAGATCTCCAGGGATAGAGCAGTGCGCACCATCACTCTTCACAGCCAAACTTGGTGCGCCAGTTTCATTCAGAGGTTCGGTCTTCAGTTCTCCTCCGCACAGCCCACACCTCTGCTTGTAGATTACAGGCTTTCGGCTCTAGTTCCTGAGGAGTCAATAGAGCCCAGTGGTCCTTACGCAGAGCTGGTGGGTTGCCTCATGTACCTGATGACTTGAACTCGTCCCGATCTCGCATACCCTCTCAGAATCTGGGCTCGCTTTGTGACCACCGGCAGACACCGACCAGGACACCGGTCGGCTGCTAAGAGGGTTTTGCGTTATCGAGCGAGTACATCGGGCATGGGGCTAGTGCTAGGAGGACGCAGACCAGTTGTTCTTACTGGGCACGCAGACGCTTCTTGGGCAGACGACGCTGAGACCCTCAGGTCCTCCCAGGGCTACTACTTTAGCCTTGGTTTGGGTGCCATCTCGTGGAGGTCCACTCGCTCCTCGTTCGTTGCCCAGTCTAGCATTGAGGCTGAGACCTATGCCGGTGCCATGGCGGCACAGGAGCTCTGCTGGCTGACCTTCTTGCTCACCGACTTAGGTGAGCGGCCTAGCTCTGCCCCGGTCCTGTACAGAGCGAAGCACATTGAGCTGCGGTACTTCCTCCTGCATGAGCTACAGCAGCGCCGCCAGGCCTGTTTTGTACACTTGGCCTCCGGTGCCAACACAGCTGATATCTTTACCAACACGCTTGCGCCTAAAGATCATCAGCGGCACTGTTTGCAGCTTGGTCTGATTCCTGTAGACTCTCACTTACTAGGACCTTGATTGGGTACTCCTCTTTTTATATATCTTTTAGACTGGCCTTGTGGCCCCTCTTCCAGTGGTCAGACTAGTACTACCGCACTGGTTTGCTCCTGTCTTGTTTGTACACTTGCTGACTGGTCTTCGGACCCCTGTCTCAGAGGTTGGACAACTAGTGCCACCCTGGGCTGTGTGCTTTTTGCTCAACACTACCCCTTATCTGGCCTAGGGGGTGTGTCAATTTATACATACATTTTCATGGAGAAGTTATAGGCTAGAATAGGTGTATATTCTTAGAGAGTACAACCCAACCCTATATCTTGCTTGTTCTCTCTTGCTTCTAATTATTCTAGTATTCTAACAAGCCCTGCCCATGTGAAGGATCTACTAGGAAGGTTTGGTGAAATTTCTTGGGTTGATCCAAATGGAAGTAGTCTTATTTTGTAGATGGGCTAATCCTAGTGACGTAGCCTTTAGTGAGTAAGACCCTCATGTATAGGCATTATCTTATGAAACAGTTATTTGTTATCAGAGCGGATCGACCTCCTTTGTCTTATAATGAAATTCAAGACTTCCCTCCCATCGCGGACAGGAAGAGATCTACTGATGCAGGTCTGACATGGGTCAGTCAAAGGTTTGAGTTTGAAGAACCTTGGGGTTGTCACTCGATCTCCCAAAGCAGGCCCTATTCCAGCGCGTGGAACAAACACACAGTTCGTAAATCGACCATTCCACATCCATTTACACCTTTCCAGCATTTAACTGCAGCATACCAAACCGCACTCCACCTTGCCCGAAGTTCCTTCGAACTTGCCGGTTTCCTGACCATATGTTCCACGCCCTTCAGACACACAGAGCAGCTAGATTCGTGTGGACTCAGCCGTAGCTCCGTGGTATGACCAACGACCTGTAACTCCCTCTTACCGTTCTTCACCCACGGCTCCTCGATACCCTCATTTTGAAACGTCTCAAAATTTGACATTCGGTTCATCTTATCAGAGCGGATTCAGCAGCAGTCGTCGCCTCATGTTTGCTGCGAGCTGACAGTCACTTGCTTGGCTCCTCGTGTCAAGAAATCCCGTTCCAGCTCGCCAAGAAGCATCTGCTGCAGAATTTAATAGCAGAATCTACGAAGGCTGACGGTCAAGAAATCCCGTTCGAGCTCGACAAGAAGCATCTGCTGCCTTCACGTTGTAGGAGATTTGTGAGAATTCGCGATAATCACCTTCAACTTCTTGGCTCCTCGTTTCAAGAAATCCCGTTCTAGCTCGCCAAGAAGCATCTGCTACCTTCGTCGCGTTGACCCTGACTCGTGATTAACATTTCCGGCTTTAGCTACACTTGAGGTCATTAGTCGATTTGTGTAACCGTCCCTGATTCAGTTCGTTGAGCATTCGTCAGGCCATCAATCTGCAGCGGCATTTTCGTCGCGACAAGTGAACTGATCTGCGAGGTTTCGCGAATGTTACAAATTTCTGTAACCGTTTGAATAGCGAGCAGAATCGTCAAGAATTCAGCGGGATTCGATCCAATTCCAGCAAAGGCCACATGCTTGGCAGTCTTCTCTCGTTTTGAGACTTCTCAAGTCTCCATCTGACTCCAGCAGAGGATTTGATTTGGTTCCAGCAGAGGCCTCATGGCAGACTTTTCCTCCTCGCCGTCAGCCGCTGAGTCGACTAACCCTACCAACCAATCAGCCCACCAACCAATCCCGCGCGATCCTCCCCAACCAATCCCGAGGCTCCCAGGCCACGCGCAAGTGCTCGGCCGACCCAACCTACTCTCCTTCTCACCCAATCAACCTCCTCCCCTTCCTCCTCTCCCTCCTCACTCACACTCCAACCCTCCCGCTCACTCACACTACAATCCTCACTCGCACATGCATCTGCTGCACCCAATCCCCGAAGAAGACTCCACCTCGCTCTCTCAATCCGGCTCCAGCCCCGCTCGCTCGCACTCCCTCCCGTTGGATCCTGCTGCTGCTGAAAATGCTACATCGGCAGCAGCAGCAGCAGCAGCAGCAGCAGCAGGCGGCGGCAGCAGTAGCAGCAGCGGCAGCGGCAGCAGCAGCACTGATAGCAGCCGTCGTGTGACGTTTTCAGAGGGTGTTCAGCTGCCCGAGAGGGGCAGAAACAGCTGGAGAGGCGACAGTGAACCGGCAAGTGGGAGAGAGGCCAGAAGGGACATTGGAAGAGAGATTGGACGAGAGCAGCTAGGAGAGGGAGAACGGACAGTGGTAGGAGCAGAGCCGTTAATGGATGAACCAGTGGTAATGAGAGACGCAGGAAGTCTTATAACGAGTACAGGGGCGCTTGAGGAGGGGATGAGGCGGAGCGTAGGGGATGGGTCTGCATTGGACGGTCCAGATTACGGGTTTGGGATCTGTGCGGTGGATTTTGATGGAGGGTTGGGTGGGGGGATTGGTGGGGAGGTGGGGTTTGAGAGGGGAGGGGGAGGCGTGGAGCGGATGTGGGAGGGGGACCTCTGCGACTGCTTTGACGACTCGTCCGTTGCCACACAGACCGCCTGGTGAGTGCTTCTTCTTTCCCCCCCTTCTCCCCCCCCCCCCTCAACCTCCTCCTTTCTCTCCCTCTCACACGCTTCCTTTCTTTGAGAGGGAGAAGGCGTGGCGCGGGTATGGGAGGGCGACTACTGTGACTGCTTCGACGACTCCTCTGTTGCGACGCAGACGCACACGCCCTTTTTTGAGAGGGAGAAGGCGTGGCGCGGGTATGGGAGGGGGAGCTCTGCGGCTGCTTTGACGACTCGTCCGTTGCCACACAGACCGCCTGGTGGGCGCTGCCCTTCTTGCTCTTGGGGACGTAGGGATTCAGAGGGCAGGAGGGGAAGGCGATGGGGATGGGCGGGTATGGGGGGTCGACCTCTACGACTGCTTTGACAACTCGTCTGTTGCCACGTAGACCGCCTGGTGAGAGCTGCAAGACCCCCTCGGCATCAGCCGCTCTCTCTCTCTCCCCGCCCTTCTCGCCCCCGTCCCGTCCCTTCCCACCCCTTGGAGTTGTCCCCCGCATCACAGCTGGGCAGAACATAGCACTCAGGTTGGACCCCTTCCTTCTGCAGGGCACCTCAGCAACCCTTCTGCATCGCCCTCTCCCCCCATCTCCTCGCCCTTCTCGCCCCTGTCCCCTCCCTCCCGCCTGATTCCAGTTGCCCGTGCATCGCCTTCAGTCAGAACAGGAAACTGGCTGGCCTCCCAAGTCTCAAGCATCTCTCATTATGCCTCTCCGAGAATCTGGCAAAGGCCCCTGTTTCCCCTGTGCCTTCCCTTCGTTTCAGCTGCCCGTGCATCACCTTCGGGCAGAACATGGCACTGGCTGGATTCAGCCACATGTTGACTCTCCCTACCCCTGTTTTTCCTTTCCCCCGTGCCTTCCCCCCTTTTCCCCGTGCCTTCCCTCCATTTCAGTTGCCCGTGCATCACATTCGGGCAGAACATGGCAATGGCTGGATTCGGGAACTGTGCCCCTCAGGTGCGATTGGCACTATGGCGCCTGAGCACGTTTGTTGCTGCGCTTGGTATATTTGCCGTTTTTTAGGCGCCTAAAGTTGGGCAGAACATGGCTATGGCTGGGTAAGGTAGTGGGTGGTAAGGTAAGTAACGTGCCCAACCCATAGCCCTCCGCTCCTCTGCATCTTATGCCAATGCCATTCAACTCCCCATCCCGTCCCCCCCGCCCCCCTCCCAACCCTCCCGTCAATATGCCCCGATCTACTGCAGGGTGTTATTGAGAATTCTAGAAAACACCCCGTCCTCCCGTCAATATGCCCCGATTTTCTGCAGGGTGTTATTGAAAACTCTTTAAAAAACCCTGGCCTCCTGTTGATATGCCCCGGTCCACTGCAGGGTGTTCATGAGAATTTTCAAAAACACCCCGCCCTCTCGTCAATATGCCCCGATCTACTGCAGGGTGTTATTGAAAATTCTTTAAAAACCCTGGCCTCCTGTCGATATGCCCCGCTCCACTGCAGGGTGTCATTCAGAATTCTCAAAAACACCCCGCCCTCCCGTCAATATGCCCCGATCCACTGCAGGGTGTTATTGAAAATTTTGTAAAAAACCCTGGCCTCCTGTCAATATGCCCCGATCCACTGCAGGGTGTTCCTGAGAATTTTCAAAAACACCCCGCCCTCCTGTCAGTATGCCCCGATTTACTGCAGAGTGTTATTGAAAAATCTTTTAAAAACCCTGCCCCCCTGTCAATATGCCCCGATCCACTGCAGGGTGTCATTAAGAATTCTAAAAAACACACCGCCCTCCCGTCAATATGCCCCGATCCACTGCAGGGTGTTATTGAAAATTCTGTAAAAAACCCTGGCCTCCTGTTGATTTTCCCCGATCCACTGCAGGGGTTTATTCAGAATTCTAAAAAAAAACACCCCGCCCTCCCGTCAATATGCCCATCAACCTGGGAGCACGTCCCCGTGCTCTCCAGAGGAGTCATTTCTAAGAATTCTCAAAAGTGTCATCTTTTTGAATTCTAAAAAATGACTCCACTGTGCATCAACCTGGGAGCACATCCTCGTGCTCCCCACATTCTCTCCCGCTACCATCCCTTCCCCTGACCCTCCCCCCCTTCTGTATTTGAGTCGACTCAAAAGCGCTCCCATCCCTTCCCCCAACCCTCCCCTTCCTTCTGTAGGCACTGATATACTGCGCATTCACCTGGGAAGCGTGCACCTGCTCTCACCTCATTAACCTCTGCTCCACTTTTCACCTCTCATCCCTGCGGGTTGCCTTCCTCCTCCCCCCCAATTTCCTGGCCCCTCTCTTTCCCCAGGCGCTCATCTCCTGCGCTCTGACCTGGGGAGCCAGCTCGTGCTCGCAGCTCACAGCCCTCTGCTCCACTCTCGACTTCTTCTCATCCCTTGGATTCGTTCTCTACTGCCCTCCGTTCTCCAGACTGCTTCTCACTCTCCGTTCTCCCATCACCTTAACCATCCCCAGGCACTCATCTGCTGTGCTCTGACCTGACCTGGGGAGCGTGCTCGTGCTCGCAGCTCACAGCCCTCTGCTCCACTCTGGCTGTGATCACAGCGTTTCATGAGTAAACACTTCGTTTTGAGGCACCTCAAAACTAGATTTCATTAGTACACCCTTCCCATTCTCCCCTTATTCTCCCACCATCCCCAGGCGCTCATCTACTGTGCTCCGACCTGGGAATCCTGCTCGCAGCTCATTGCCCTCTACTCCACTCTCCACCAATTCTCATCCCTTGGGCTGTTTGCTACTGTTTGTCTATACTCTCTCCCCGTTCTCCCTCTGTCCCCTTGTTTTCCCCCAGGCGCTCATCTACTGCGCTCTAACCTGGGGAGCCTGCTCGTGCTCGCAGCTCATTGCCCTCTGCTCCACTCTCGACTTCTTCTCATCCCTCGGACTCGTTCTCTACTGCCTTGGCACCTCCTACTCGGCACGTTTCCGCACTCAAACACGCAGGCGGTTCAACATTCAGGTGAGCCATTGTAAGTTTTAGGCGCCTCAAAACATGCAGGCGGTTCAACATTCAGGTGAGCCATTGTAAGTTTTGAGGCGCCTCAAAACACGCAGGCGGTTCAACATTCAGGAGAGCCATTGTAAGTTTTGAGGCGCCTCAAAACACGCAGGCGGTTCAACATTCAGGTGAGCCATTGTAAGTTTTGAGGCGCCTCAAAAACACACAGGCGGTTCAACATTCAGGTGAGCCATTGTAAGTTTTGAGGCGCCTCAAAAACACACAGGCGGTTCAACATTCAGGTGAGCCATTGTAAGGTTCCCTTTCTCCTCTCTCAATGCTCCTCTCTCAATGCTCCTCTCTCAATGCTCCTCTCTCAATGCTCCTCTCTCAATGCTGCTCTCTCAATGCTCCTCTCTCAATGCTCCTCTCTCAATGCTCCTCTCTCAATGCTCCTCTCTCAATTCTCCTCTCTCAATGCTCCTCTCTCAATGCTCCTCTCTCAATGCTCCTCTCTCAATGCTCCTCTCTCAATGCTCCTCTCTCAATGCTCCTCTCTCAATGCTCCTCTCTCAATGCTCCTCTCTCAATTCTCCTCTCTCAATGCTCCTCTCTCAATGCTCCTCTCTCAATGCTCCTCTCTCAATGCTCCTCTCTCAATGCTCCTCTCTCAATGCTCCTCTCTCAATGCTCCTCTCTCAATGTTCCTCTCTCAATGCTCCTCTCTCAATGCTCCTCTCTCAATTCCATCATCTCATTTTTCGGTGTTGTTCTCTACTGCACTGGGCACCTCGTTTTCAACACGTTTCCTCACTCAAACGCACCGAAGGTCAGTGGTTAGGCAAGGTGTGGGCAACATACTGGGCTCTGCTACCCTTCGTTCGGGAAGTATGGCTATCTCTTAAGGTTGTTCTCTACTGCCCTGGAACGTCACTTGTTGGTCTTTTGAGTCGACTCAAAAGTCACCTCGTCACTTGTTGGTCTTTTGAGTTGACTCAAAAGTCACCTCGTCACTTGTTGTTCGGCACATTTCTGCATTCAAAACACGCGCTGACAGCCCAATATTCTGGTCGGTGCAAAGGTCAGCCCAATCTGCAAAACACGGTGATTTTTGAGTCGACTCAAAAGTCACCTCGGTGCATAGGGAAAGACTGGGATTTTCTGGTCGGTGCATTCCTGCTGACTATCCATTTTTTTTTCCTCGTGCGAAAGGACATGTGGATATACAGTGTTGGTTTCGGAATGATCATTTTTGCTTCCCCCCGCCCTCTCTCTCGTACATTTGCATGCAGGGTGACGAAGCAACGGATTGCATCTATCATGCCTGCTGCTCCTGCTGCGCTCTCTGCCAGGTACCGTAACCACAAAGCATTGTGGGGCAGCTTATAAGGAGTACGTACAGGAATTGCGCATCGTACTCTTACAATGGGAAGCAAGGCAATCGGCCAGTTGTGTTGCTTCGTCCTGCTTTACTTCTTCGCCCATGTGGAATGTTTATTTCCTCCTTGCCAATCCCAACTTTTCCCGTGCACAAATACAGGAGGCACGTACTCTTCGGATGAATAATGTCCGGAGAGGCATGTGGGGAGGAAGAGGGCACATGGGGAGTGTAGCGCCCAACACCAAGTCCCTCATGCTAGTTCCCCCACTCCCCTTTCATATGACAGCCATGCCATCCCCTCCCACATCCCCCGTCACCTCACCCTCAAGCTCGAGCAGAGCCCCTCTGTTTTCATCGCCCGCCTCGTAAAGCAGGGTTGAAGCTTTACTATAAACAATGCATTGTTTCCGGGGTCTCATATTCGTCTTAGGGAGGCTGATTGCTCAGGCCTGCCCTTCTCAGAACCCATTTTTGTCAGGGTAGTTTTCTTTTTTTTGCCTGAAATTTCAGGCTGAAATTTTCGAAAGGCTGACGAAGCAGGGAAAACGCAATGAATCAGTTCGTCGCGTGATTGAGGGAAAATTCGTGTTTTCAAGGAACTGCTGAAACCCCACCTACTGGGTGTTTCTGCACTAGATTTGCCAAGGACAAATCACGTCCCTCACACCTACTCCAGCTTACCTCGGACAACCAGCATGATATTTGGTCAAGGACCGGTCACGCCCCCCACTGTCAGAAACTCAGCCACTAACCACTGAGTTAAAATGGCTTGTTAATAGCGGGTCAGTGTGCCCATAGCCCCCCAGGATCTGCACCTGTGGCCCTTCCTCAAGGATCTTCTCAAGGGTAACCCCAGCGGGTCACTCGATACCCCCCCTCGCTGGGACAGGTGGAAGACACGAGCGCCTCGATACCCCCCCTCGCTGGGATTTTTTCCGAGTCACCAACGCTGTGAAACCATGTAAGAACTCAGTCACTAACCACTGCGTTAATAGGGCTTGTTAATAGCGGGTCAGTGCGCCCATTGTTAGAATACTAGAATGACTAGAAACAATAGAGAACAAGCAAGATGTAGAGTTGGGTTGTACTCTCTAAGAACATACACCTATTCAAGCCTTTAATTTCTACATGCATAATGTATGTATAAGTTGACCCACCTCCTAGGCTAGATAAGGGGTAGTGTTGAGCAAGAAGCACACAGCTCAGGATGGCACTACTAGTCCAACCTCTGAGACAGGGGTCTGAAGACCAGTCAGCAAAAGTACAAACAAGACAGGAGCAAACCAGGGCGGCACTACTAGTCCGGCCACTAGAAGAGGAGCCACAAGGCCAATCTGGAAGACATATATAAAGAGGAGCACACAATCAAGGTCCTAGCAAGTGAGAGTCTACAGGAACTAGACCAAGCTGCAAGCAGTGCCGCTGATGATCTTTAGGCGCAAGCGCCTTAGTAAAGATATCAGCTGTGCTGGCACCGAAGGCCAAGTGTACTACGGGAGCCTGGCGACGCTGCTGTAGCTCAAGCAGGAGGAAGTACTACAGCTGGATGTGCTTCGCTCTGCCTTCAATTCGAGGCTTCTGATACAGGAGGATCATGGCCCTGTTGTCAGCGTACAGGATCGGGGCAGAGCTAGGTCGCTCACATAAGTCGGTGAGCAAGAACGTCAGACAGCGGAGCTCCTGTGCCGCCATGGCACCGGTGTAGATCTCAGCCTCACGCTAGACAGGGAAACAGACGAGGAGCGAGTGGACCTCCACGATATGGCAACCGAACCAAGGCTAAAGCATTAGCCCTGAGAGGACCTGAGAGTCTCAGCGTGGTCTGCCCAAAAAGCGTCAGTGTGCCCAGTAAGGACCACCGGCCTGCGTCCCCCTAGCACTAGCCCTATGCCCGATGTACTCGATAGATAACGCAAAACCCTCTAAGCAGCCGACCACTATTGTGGTCGGTGTCTGCCGGTGGCCACAAAGCAAGCCAGCATGCTGAGAGGGTATGCGAGATCGGGACGAGTGCAAGTCATCAGGTACATGAGGCAACCCACCAGCTCTGCGTAAGAACCACTGGGCTCTACTGACTCCTCAGGAACTAGAGCTAAGAGCCTATGATCTACTGGCAGAGGTGTGGGCTGTGTGGAGGAGAACTGAAGACCGAACCTCTAAAGGACCTGGCACACCAAGTGTGACTGTGTGAGAGTGACGGTGCGCACTGCTCTGTCCCTGGAGATCTGCATGCCAAGCAAGTGGCACAGCTCTCGTAGGTCAGTGCAGGTGTGTCTCCTTAGCAGCTCGGCCTTCATGGAGGCCAGCGCGTCTCTGTCTGCAGTAGCGAAGACCAGGTCGTCTACGTAGACAAGGATGTAGAACGAAGTCTGGCCAGCACGAACGAAAAGCGAAGGGTCTGCAGAGGACGGAAAGAACTGGAGGTCAGCTAGCGTAGCACGCAGCGTGTCATGCCACTCACGTAATGCCTATCGTAGGCCGTAGACTGCGAGTCGGAGGAGCCACTGGGTCCCAGGAGAGAAGGTACCGGTGAAGCCCTACGGTCGGCGCAGGTGTGCTCGTGTAGGCTGCCCTGAAGAAAAGCAGTGGAAAATTCTAGGGAGTGGAGCTCGTAGTCACGCTGTGCTGCTACATATAGCATCGCCCGAAGAGTAGTCATGTTCGGGGTCGGGGCGAAGGTCTGAAAGATGTCCACCCCCTCTCGCTGACTGAAGCTTCTAGCCACGTAGCGTGCCTTGAACACCGGCGGCTCTCCAGGAGGGCGCTTCACCTTGAAGAGCCATCGGCCGTCGACTACGTTCACCCCAGGTGGGGGAACTACATCGACGTAGGTGGTGGTGGATCTCTAAGATGCCATTTCCTGCTTCATGGCAGCTATCCACAGAGAGGCCCACGGTCCCGAGGTCGCCTCAGCGTAAGTGCGAGGGGTCGGGATGTCAAAGGCGTCTGGGTTACCCTCAGGGACTAGCAGCATGGAGTAGCCTCGGATAGGAAAGCAGGCTCGTACTACTGAGGGGAGACATGATGAGCACAAGAGGGATGGTGAGACCTGACGTGAGATGGAGGCGTCGGGTCAGGAGACAGAGGAGGAGTAACGGGAGGTTAACGAGGTGGGAACCGAGTCGGGGACGAGTCCGGCAGAGGAAATACAGGACCGTGGACAGGAAGGGGAAGAGGTGGCAGGGCAGGCGCAGGCGAGCGGTCAGGGGAGGGAAGGCTGAGTAGGCGAAGGTCGGACACCGGCGGCGACTGCTGTTGCTGCTCCTCGACGCCGACACCTGGACCGCCAGCTGCACCATGGCTACCTGCGGAACACTCCACTCCAGCACCCCCAGAACGAGCACCCTCAGAGTGAGAACCCTCTCCAGCACTGGTGCCACCCCTGAGCCCGCCGGAACAAGCCACGATAGGAACCCCAGGACAAGCACCCTCCTGAACGCGAGCACCCCCAGAGTCCACGAACGGCTGCTGTTGCTGCGACGGCAGCGGCTGCTACGGCGACGGCGGCTTCGACTGTGATGGTGGAGGAGGAGACACCGGGGGAGAGACAGGCAGCAAGAACTGCACCGTAGGGCCACCAGAGTCAACCGACTCCTCGACCGGGACAATCGATAGGGGGGGAGTTAAGTGAGACACACCAGGCAGAGCAAGACAGGGGGGGGAGGGGAGCAGGGGCTACCAGGGGAGTGGGGACCAGAAAAAGGGGAGGGGAAACCAGGGGACCTCGATGGGGAAAGCGGTGATAAAAGGACACAGACTCGTCGAAAGTGGCGTCACCAGAGTGAAAGAAGCGGTGAGACGACGGGTGGTAAAAGTGCCAATCAGAAGAGTCCAGGGGAAAACCGAGGAAGACACAGGGGACAGTGTGGGCAGTGAGCTTGTCCGTGCCAGAGGCACGAACGTGAGCGAGGCAGCCCCAGACGTGGAACGCGGACGCGTCACCAGAGAACCCGGTCCAAAGTAGGGTCGGCGAAACCTGCGGCCTCTGGGAGCGCGAGTAGAGGTTAAGCTGGTGAGCTGCGTAGTGAACGACGAACAGCCATAGAAAATGGGGTGCATCGGTATGAATCATGGAGGTACAAGCCACCTCCAAGACCAAGCCGATGCGTCGCTCAGCGACCCCATTCTGCTGCGGGGAGTCCAATAGGGTGTATGACTAGGTGATTCCTTGCGCACGACAGAACTTTCCGTGCCGACCAGAGGCGAACTCGCCATAACGGTCGGAGGGGAGACAAATCATAGGGAGACCGCGGTGGAGGCGAGCAGCTACGGCCCATAGGATACGAACGTCGGGCACGTCGGCCTTCCGCTCCAAGGGAAACACAGTGGTGTAATGTGTGTAGTCGTCAACGAGCACTAGGAAGTAGCGCTCGCGACGCGGTCCAGGGACGGGGGCTGGGCCCCAGACGTCCAGGTGTAGGTTGTGGAGGGGTGCGGTGGCAGGACGAAGCGAGGAGGAGTGAGGAGCACGTCGCAGCCGGCCCTCAACGCAGGGCGTGCACGGCGGCGCAGGCGAGGGAGGGAGGGCAGGACGTGACGCGAGGAGACCTAGGACGAGACCGTGCTGGGACATGTGACGCAGACGTGGGAGCGCGTGGTGGCTTAGGTGGTGGTGCCACAGAAGCGACGAGTGAGTGAGCGACTGACACGAGCACGCAGCGGCAACCTGGGTAGACGGAGGACTCGGGGAGGACGCCCCATCCGGGGGGGAAGCTGTGTCTAGCGTAAACAAGCCAGACACCGGGTCCCAGGGGAACGTCGCAAGGGGGGAACCTGAGGCGGCCTCGGTATAGACGGCGTACCGGTCGTGACTCAGAAACGTAGTGGTGACGCCGAGGTCCTGAAGATAGCCGACACCGATTAAGTTCCGGGAGAACGAGGGGATGTGTAGGCATGTAAGGGAACCTAAGGGGCCACTGAATAGGGAAGGGTAGTGTAGCTGTAAGCAACTACAGAACCTGAGGAGGGGTCAAAAAGTGCGACAGCGGCAGGCGCGGCAAGCTGCGTACGCACAGTGTGGTCGCGGAAGAAGCAGGTAGACGTACCGGAGTCAAGTGTGAAGGACAGAGAAGAAGTAGCGGCAGACGAAGGAGGAGCGAGTGTGGAACCTAGACTAGACAGAGCAAACGGTCCTACGCCTGCCGCAGCAGGGGTCTCTGTACTACACACAGGTGCTACGCCTAAGCTAGGGAACACAGGGTAATAAGATCCGGACACACTAAAAGCGTCAGCATACAGAGAATGCAAAGCAGAACTAATATGATCCATGTCAAAGTCAAAAACAGGCACACCGTGGCGCAACAGACTGGGCCAGTCAGGGAGGTCTGGGGCCGAGCCGAAGCAGCGAAGAAAGAGGTCGTCGAGGCAACAGAAGCAGCAGGCGGTCGAGTGCGGACGGCAGCACACAGTGCCACAAAGGGGCACAGTCTGCAGCTGGTACTTGCAGCCCACAGCTCCAAAGCCGCCAGTAGACGCCGAGCTGCTAGGACCGCCACCTCGGCCACCCCCTCCAGGGGCTCCCGGCCACCCCGGCGGGAGGCGGGCCCACGGCTGCTGCTGCGACTGCTGCTGCTCCTGGACGCCTGCCCCAGCCTTTTCGTTAGAACCACTTTCGCCGCCACCACCACCTCGCCCTTCCTTGGGGCCGTGATGGCCCCGTCGCTGTCGTTGTTGCTGCGGGAAGGCCGCCACTACGGTCTTTGTGGCAGAAGCAGCAGTAGCGACCGCAGCGGAAATGCCAGCGTACGTGTACTGGGAGGGAGCACAACCCTGAAAGATAGGGACTGCCGCAACACCGCTCGACTGAGCGATAGTGCGCTGGCGATTCTCTATCTCAGAAAGGGCAGCGATAAAAGCGGTAAGGGTGAGGTCACCAGGGTGCTGGCTAAGGTAGTGGTCGAGGGCAGTGGCTAAGCGGTTAGGAAGGCACATGCCAATAAGGTATAGGGTGGTGCAGAACGGTGGGGGGAAGGCATTGAGTTGGGCAGTAGTGCTAGCAGCGCGGTAGCTAGTCTCTAGTGTATGGAGGTGAGTCGCGAGATCAGCGACAGTGAGCAAAGTAGAGAGATCGGGGAAGAGCATTGGGAGGATCAAGCGTCCAGCCGAGGCGGAGGCAGGCGTGGAGTAGCGTGCAACTACTGCATCTAAGAAGTCTTTGGCGTTCGTGACAGCAGTGAAACGCGGGCGCTCAGAAAAGGGAAGCGCATGACTAATGGCAAGCTGCGCTACATCATCGCGAGAATCCCAGACAGCGCGAGCTAGCGCCGCAGTAGCAAAGGCCTCACTCTAAGCAGTGGTGGGGTCAGCAGGGAGGGGATCAGGCATGGAGAGGCCGGGAAGCAAGCCATTAACATGCATAGCCAGAGAGTGCCCATCCTAGCGTTGAATTGTCAGGTGCCGGCGAAGATCGACAAGCCAATCGGCGAAGTCGATTGCGTGCCCCTCCGCGTCCACACGAAGCATGGCGTCTGCCATCGCGAAACCGCAGCGGTACTGGGATACAGCGGTGTAGTGGCACATGGACACAGGTACTCAGCTGTACGGCGATACAGCGACGTGGTGGCAGGACTCTCCGGAACAGGGACCGGGCGCACAAGGAGCCGGAGGGCGCGCAAGGGGGACGAGGCGCACGATGGGCCGGCCAGGCGGTAGGGGCCGGCTAGGCGGTAGTAGGGGCCGGCTGAGCTCGAAGGGCCGGCTAGGCACGAGGGGGGCGGTTGGGCGCGAGGGGCCGGCTAGGGCGCGAGGGGCCGCCTGGGCGCGCGGAGCCAGCTAGGCGTAAGGAGCCGGCTGGGAGCGAGGGGCCGGCTAGGGCGCGATGGGCCGGCTAGGGCGCGAGGGGCCGGCTAGGGCGCGAGGGACCGACTAGGGCACGAGAGGCTGGCGACGGCGCGAGGGGCCGGCTAGGGCACGAGGGGGGCGGCTGGGCGCGAGGGGCCGGCGACGGCGCGAAAGGCCGGCTAGGGCGCGAGGGGCCGGCTGGGGCGCGAGGGGCCGGCTACGGCGCGAGGGGCCGGTTACGGCGCGAGGGGCCGGCTAGGCGCGAGGGGCCAGCGGCGGCGCGAGGGGCTAGCGACAGCGCGATGAGCCGGCTACGGCGCGAGGGAGGGCCGGCTAGGGCGCGAGGGGCCGGCTACGGCGTGAGGGGCCGGCTAGGCGCGAAGGGGCCGGCTAGACGCGAGGGGCCGAGTGGGCGCGATTGGGGCCGGCGAGGCGCGGTAGGCTAGGGCGGGGGGCGGAAGCGGGTGGGTGGACCTAACCTACTCATGATACCATGTTAGAATACTAGAATGACTAGAAACAAGAGAGAACAAGCAAGATATAGAGTTGGGTTGTACTCTCTAAGAAAATACACCTATTCTAGCCTATAACTTCGATATACAGAATGTATGTATAAGTTGACACCCATAGCCCCTTAGGCTCTGCACCTGTGGCCCTTCCTCGAGGATCTTCTCAAGGGTAACCCCAACGGGTCACTCGACACCCTCAACTGCTCATGATGACCTCGGAATTTTGCGTGATTTGGGTCGAAGGACCAATCACAGCTTCACACCTGCTCCAAGTTCGCTCGGACCACTGGCGAAACTGCTCGGGGGGTCGTGAACAGATTAGATAGGGTTCTTCTGTTTCACGCTAAAATTCAGTAGAAGCTGATTGGTCAGGCCTGGCTAAACAAGAACGCATGTTTTTTCAGGCTTACTAAACTGGGAACACAAATTTTTCAGGTTTGGCCAAAATCGAATGCTGAAAAATCAGGCTTTGCCATTAAAAATACCTTCATTTACTGCTTCTTGTCTCATGCCTTTTTAGTATGAAAACTGATACCCTGATTGTTTCCTTGTGGTTCATGATATATTTAAAGCAATTTGATGAAAGATGGTTTCGTTCCATACTACCGTGCAACTATTTTAATTGTTTTTTCATAAGCCATAAGTTTTCTATATACATTTATGCTTTGATTAGAAAAGGCGCTTGTTGGCCATAGTGGTCAAGATGTTCGTTACAAATGGAATTCGTTTTTCAGTACACTTGGTGCCTTTGGCAAACCTCCGGCTGCATTTCTGGGGTTTCGCCGCTCGGAGGTGGCGGAGCAGGCCCTGTTTGTCCCCATTTCGCTGCGCTGCTGGGAACGGCCGAGCATCCAGTGGCGGGATTCCCGCCCCCATTCTGCAGAAGCTGCTTTCCCGCGCGTTACCCGCTTCCTCGTTCGTGAATCCAGCAGGCGAAGCGCCAAGCCTTGGAGGTGGTTTTTGGCCAAACAGGCAACAGGCTTGAATCGAGAGCCAGACATTGTCTTGGTTGACGTCAGTTGTCAGTTGGAGGTCAGTGAGGACTCAGTGCTTTGAACGAGGTTCGACACTTGAAGCAGCAAGAATACCATTTGATACCGCGTATAACCTTTCTGCTTGCATCTAAACCACCTGTCACCCATCTTGATTTTTGAACCTGAGGCTCGAAATTTTCGTTTTTCCCCAAAAAGCACCGCGTCCTCAGTCAAGCAGTCGGTTGAACGGACTCTCCCTCTCTTGTCCTTCCCCGTCAGCTCACCTGTGGGCTGCTGTTGGCTGACGGACGACGCCATTCACAGGCCTGATCGCTGGCGAAGTCGGCCAAGTAAACCAGCAACAGCAGATTGGGCCAAATGCACCGTACAGAATCGCGTTGTAACGAACTGTAACATCACAGACCGCATCTCAACCTTTGAACTTATTGGCTTCCCAAAACAAAGCATTTCTGAGGAACGCCGGATATTCCCCAGGGGACGTTCGCTTCGCACCGCAGAATCCAGCGGTTATTTTAGTCTGCAATGGTCGCATTGTGGCTAGCATTTCTCCTGCTATTGGTGCCATTTTCCTAGCGTGTTAGTTCGCTTCCTGAGATCAGTATTCATTGTGTTAGAAGTTTGGATCGTGCGATTAGGTTATGCGACTAGGTCGTGCGACTAGGTAGTGCGATCCGTCCTGCGACAGGCTCTGCGAGCTTGCGACCTCGACGATGCAATTCAGTTGGTGATCCATTTCCAGCCTGAATGCTCATTAGCATATTGTCAGAAGCGTGCGTTTTAGAATAAGTTGCAGAATGTCATAGCTTTTTTTTTTCTGCAGCTTACGTGGACTGACCGAGCATTCAATTCGTCCTGGCTTTCTGGTTTGGAACTCTCTCGCCGCCGTGTCGTCCGACTTCCTACCCTCCTACTTTCCATAACTGACTAACAAGACCTCATCTGGTCTCTTATCTCGAACGACGCTCTGTGCCAGCTGTCTCTCGGTACGGAAGTTTTTCGTCAGCTTGAGGCCTGGTTTTGAGTTCCGATCACTCCCACGCAATCAACAGAAGCAGAATAGCTAGAGGGAGAAAATAGACCGATTCTAATAGCAGTTGCACGTCAGCGAACAGCAGGGATGACGGAAGAGTATCACCATCACATGGACGGAAAGCGGGACGACGAAGGCGGAGCTGTAGAGTATACCGAAGATCTCCGTGACGGGGATGGCGATCCAGGAGAGGACGGATACGACGACGACGGGTCTGGAGAGCCGTTAGAGCCGGAAATCGTCGGAGTTCCGACTTACGATGGGGCTTACTCGCAGTACAACATCTACGGGAATTTATTCGAGGTTACTGCCAAGTATATCCCGCCTATTCGGCCAATCGGACGTGGAGCCTACGGAATCGTGTGGTACGTGGTCTCTCTACCATCGTGTGGATGGTAAAGGTCCTTCTTTCTATCATCCAATGGCTCTCTAGCCTCTGTCTATGATGAGCCGCCTCGATATTAGCCTACGGACTCGTGTGGTACGAGTTCTCTCTATAATCAAATTGCTCACTGATTGTTGATTATTTCATGCCTACTTAGCTGTGTGGTATGGCGCTCACCAGTGATTAATCGCTCTTCACTCTGCTTCCCCACCCCTTCTGCGCTGCAGCCATCGCAGAACTCCGTTCGTCCACCTCTTTACGTCACTAGACCCTCCTCCTCGTCCGCTTCATTCATCCCCTTCCACCTCCGCTAATTCTCGAGTTTCTTCTCCTGTCGTCCTTTGCTGTCCTCTGCCCCTGGCCTCCGTGGCTCCCTGTCGGTTTGTGTGTGTGCGTGTCTCCGTCAGTGCGTGTCCTCGTCAGTGCGTGTCCTCGTCAGTGCGTGTCGTCAGTGCGTGTCTCCGTCAGTGCGTGTCTCCGTCAGTGCGTGTCTCCGTCAGTGCGTGTCTCCATCAGTGCGTGTCTCCGTCAGTGCGTGTCTCCGTTAGTGCGTGTCTCTGTCAGTGAGTGTCTTTCTCTCTATCTGTGTAGCCAGCTCTGCAATAAACTCGGAGGCACAGGAGGAGGTTGCCATCCAGAAGATTGCGAATGATTGCCTTTGACAACCAGATTCCCTATCCCCTTTTGTGGCCTTGTCGTTTCCGATCCACCTCCTGTTTTTCCAGCTCCGCAATCAACTCGGAGACCCAGGAGGAGGTGGCCATCAAGAAGATTGCGAATGCCTTTGACAATCGGATTGATGCCAAGAGAACGCTGAGGGAGATCAAGCTGCTGCGCCACATGGACCATGAGAACGTGAGTCGCTTGATGCATGCATGCCTGCTGCGTGCGTGCATGCGTACTGCGTGCATACATGACAGTATTGAGAACGTGTGTGGTGGACTGAGAGAGTGCCTTTGACAACCGGATTGATGCCAAGAGAACGCTGAGGGAGATCAAGCTGCTGCGCCACATGGACCATGAGAACGTGAGTGATGATGCCTGACTCATGACTGATGCGTGCATCCATGAATGATGAACCCATGAGATCAAGCTACTGCGACACATGGACCTTGAGAACGTGAGTGATGATGCCTGACTCATGACAATATCGAGAAGTGAGTCTCAGCCTGACACATGACAATATCGAGAACGTGAGTCTCAGCCTGACACGTGACAATATCGAGAACGTGAGTCTCAGCCTGACACATGACAATATCGAGAACGTGAGTCTCAGCCTGACACGTGACAATATCGAGAAAGTGAGTCTCAGCCTGACACATGACTATATCGAGAACGTGAGTCTCAGCCTGACACATGGCAATATCGAGAACGCCAAGAGAACTCCGCTGAGGGAGATCAAGCTGCTGCGGCACTTGGACCATGAGAACGTGAGTCTCTGCCTGCCTGACACATGAGGGATGCATTCATGGATATGAACCCAGGAGATCAAGCTACTCCGGCCGACATATGGACCATGAGAACGTGAGTCATGACACATGAGTGATGCATGGCACATGAGTGATGCATGACACATGAGTGATGCATGACACATGAGTGATGCATGCCACATGTGTCATGAGTGATGCATGAATGAACTAGCAAAAAAATCGATTGCTCATTCTTGGGCCATGAGGAGTAGTGAGTGAGTGGTGAAACCATGAGATCATGTCACATCCAACGCCCTCTCAAATCACCCGTCCTTGTGTCACCCGTCTACCTTGTGTCACCCGTTTACCTTGTGTCACCCGTCTACCTTGTGTCACATGTCTACTTCACACAATGTTACATTGCGTGAGAGTTCCCAAACACTGACTCCGCTCACTTCATCCGTCTACACATGCCAGGTGGTTGCTATCGTGTACGAGCTCATGGACACAGACCTGCACTGCTCCAGACACCTCCCACTTCCCCTCCCTCCCCTCCCTCCCCTCCTTCCCCCCTTCCTCCCCCCCTCCCTCCCTTGTTCCATCACCCCTGTACAATCACACCGTGTGACAGCCATCCGGGATGTTATGCCGCCTCCAGCGTGTGATACCCTCAATGATGTCTATATCGTGTACGAGCTCAAGGAACACTAACCATGCACCAGATCATCCTACCACTCACTCCCGCCCCTGTGCTTGTTTCAGGTGGTGGCCATCCGAGACATCATCCCCCCGCCTGCTCGCGACACTTTCAATGATGTCTATATCGTGTACGAGCTCATGGACACAGACCTGCACCAGATCATTCGCTCTAACCAGCAGCTCACAGAAGACCACTGCCAGGTGAGAGGGCGAGTTTTAGGGTGTACACTCATACGTATATGTACTGTTTTATGTAAAGAGTATAAAAGTGTTCACACTGTGTACGAGCTCATGGACACAAACCTGCATGAGATCATTCGCTCCAACCAGCAGTTGACTGAGGACCACTGCCAGGTGAGGGAGTGGAGCATCGATGTGTACACTGCATATGTATCTATGAAACATCACTATATAGACCACAGAAAATTCTACATCGTGTACAAGCTCATGGACACAGACCTGCACCAGATCGTCCGCTCCAACCAGCACTTGGCTGAAGACCACTGCCAGGTGTGTACACTACAAATGTGTATTGAAAGATGTTAACATAGTCTATACAAGTGTTCCTACAGTGTGCAAGCGCATGGACACCGACCTGCACCAGATCATCCAGTCCAACCAGCAGCTCACAGAAGATCACTGCCAGGTGAGAGAGTGGACTGTGCATGTGTACAGACGCATATGTATGCTGCTGTATGCATACAAGCATGCCTGTATGAAAACTGGTAGTGTTGACGACCTCATGGGACACAGACAGACCTGCACCCTCTCCAACCAACGAGCAGCTCAAGGACCATTCATTACCATTGTGTCCCCACACTCTCTATCCCGTGCAGCATTGAGACGTCTCAATCATGGACCATTACCATAGTGTCCCTACGTTCTCTATCCTTGGGAATTCTAAAAAATGTCTCCAATGAAATTATATGCTCAAGGATCATAACAATTGTGTCCCCACGTTCTCTATCCCCATGCAGTATTTCCTGTACCAGCTGCTGCGGGGGCTGAAGTACGTGCACAGTGCCAAGGTGTTGCATCGCGATCTCAAGCCGTCCAACCTGCTGCTCAACGCCAACTGCGACCTCAAGATCTGCGACTTCGGCCTCGCAAGGTGAATCTTCGTAGAGCGGTTACAGGGGAGAGCTTGTAATCACCGGTGACCCTGCAGCATCCACGTTGCAACCCTCCCCTTATCAGCCCTCCTCTTCATAATCCTCCCCTTATCTACCCTCCCCTTATCCACCCTCCCCTTATCTACCCTCCCCTTATCCACCCTCCCTTGTCCACCCTCCCCTTATCCACCCTCCCTGCTCAGCTCCGCCCCTCTCAGCTTCGCCCCTCTCAGCTTCGCCCCTCTCAGCTTCGCCCCTCTCAGCTTCGCCCCTCTCAGCTTCGCCCCTCTCAGCTCCGTCCCTCTCAGCTCCGCCCTTCTCACCCCCGCCCTTCTCAGCCCTGCCCCTATCAGCCAATCCCTTTTGCTGCAGATCGACTCTGCCCTAGATTTGCGGAGGAGAGTGGCAGCATGACAGAATATATGCAGTAACCGGATGGCATGGTAACCGGATGGCATGGTAACCGGATGGCATGGTAACCGGATGGCATGGTAACCGGATGGCATGGTAACCGGATGGCATGGTAACTGGATGGCATGATAACCGGATGGCATGGTAACCGGATGGCATGATAACCGGATGGCATGATAACCGGATGGCATGGTAACCGGATGGCATGGTGACCGGATGGCATGGTAACCGGATGGCATGGTGACCAGATGGCATGGTAACCGGATGGCATGGTAACTGGATGGCATGGTGCAGCTCGTCAAGGTGTTCCGCTTTCATTACCTCGCACATCCTCAGAGGAGGGCGACTATACGACCGATATGTGGTAACCAGATGGTGTGGAATGGTAACAAGAATTTAAAAGTCTTCCTACTATTGCCTTTCATTTTACTTGCAGATCGGCAGAGGAGAGTGACTACATGACAGAGGATGTGGTAACCAGATGGTGTAACGCCATGCGGATCTTGTTCTCTATATTTTCCTCCCCTCTAACCACAGATCGGCAGAGGAGAGTGACTACATGACAGAGTATGTGGTAACCAGATGGTACCGCGCCCCAGAGCTGCTGTTAAACAGCAAGGTGAGTTGCTGCTGCAATTTATGCCCCCCCACCTTAATTCACCAGTAGACATTGAAGTCCTCTGATTCAAGGTCAGGAATGTGACATGTAACCAGATGGTACCACGCTCCAGAGCTGCTGCTAAACAGCAAGGTGAGCTGCTGCTGCAGTTTATGCCCCCCCCTTAATTCACCAGTAAGCATTGAAGTCCTCTGATTCAAGGTCAGGCATGTGACATGTAACCAGATGGTACCACGCTCCAGAGCTGCTGCTATACAGCAAGGTGAGCTGCTGCTGCAGTTTATGCCCCCCTGTTAATTCACCAGTAGACATTGAAGTCCTCTGATTCAAGGTCAGGCATGTGACATGGTATCCAGATGGTACCACGCCCCAGAGCTGCTGCTAAACAGCAAGGTGAGCTGCTGCTAAACAGCAAGGTGAGCTGCTGCTAAACAGCAAGGTGAGCAATATTCGTTTCATTCATATCTACACAGTAGGGCAGTGAGCCATCAGACTCCTTTGTTCCGTGAATCAGGCACGCGGTGTGGTGTGGTAACCAGATGTTACTGCGCCCCAAAGTTGCTGCTAAACAGCAAGGTGACTTTTGAGTCGACTCGTGACCAGATGTTTGAGTCGAGCAAAGTCACTTTGTGTGGTAACCAGATGGTACTGCGCCCCAGAGTTGCTGCTAAACAGCAAGGTGACCAGTAGGTATACCCCGCATAGTAGTGCAGGGAGCTTTGATTCTCATTGATCCACAAGTAACAAAAACAGGCATGTGATGTGGATGTGGTCACCAGATGCTACTGCTGCCGTGCCCCAGAGCTGCTGCTGAACAGCAAGGTAAGTGCCAATCTGCAAGGGGACCACTTGAGAGCAACCCCACTCAGGTGCTTCTTCATGGAGCCTTTGAATCGCTCTCAACTGCTGCTAACCGCTTTAATTTGAAGCTCTCTTAACCCCTCTGATTAAATTCTCCCTTCCCCCTTACCAGGCGTACACGGCAGCCATTGATGTGTGGTTGGTGGCGTGCATCTTCATGGAGCTTGTGGCTTGCACTTCACTGCTCTTAACCGCTTTGAGCCTCTCGCAACCCCTGTTTACCGCCCCTGCCTCAAACCAGGCGTACACGGCAGCCATCGATGTGTGGTCGGTGGGGTGCATCTTCATGGAGCTGCTGAACCGCTTGTCCGTAACCATTATTAACCGCTCCTGAACCGCTCTGAACCCCCTGTAAACCACTATTCCCTCCCCAACCAGGCGTACACAGCAGCCATCAATGTGTGGTCCGTGGCGTGCATCTTCATGGAGCTGCTGAACCGCTTTTCCGTAACCATTATTAACCACTCCTGAACCGCTCTGAACCCCCTGTAAACCACTATTCCCTCCCCAACCAGGCATACACAGCAGCCATCAATGTGTGGTCGGTGGGGTGCATCTTCATGGAGCTGCTGAACCACTCATATCCTCAACCACTTTGAACCTCTCTCAACCCTTATGAACGACACCAGGCGTACACAGCAGCCATCGACGTGTGGTCGGTGGGTTGCATCTTCATGGAGCTGCTGAACCGCGAGCCTCTGTTCCCCGGCAAGGACTATGTGGACCAGCTGCGCCTCATCACCTCAGTGAGTGACGGGAGACGCCTTATGTGTATGCCCATTGCTGGCTTGTGTGGCGGGTTGCAGCCTTGAAATACCCCTGGCCCCGCTTTGACTTACAAGCCTCTCTTTCTCCCCGCCAAGGACTATGTCGACCAGCTGCGCCTCATCACCTCGGTGAGTGTTGTTGTTTTGACACGCATATTCCACTGCCACATGAGTATGTGAGATTTTCCGCTGTCACCTTCTCTTCCCCAGCAAGGACTATGTGGACCAGCTGCGCCTCATCAGACTTCGGTGAGTGACAAGAGAATGCTGTGAGTCTCATGTGCTGCTGGCAGCATCTTGCCGGCATGTTGTGACTCATGCTTGCTTGCTGTGTACCGTCTAGTGCGAGCCTCTCTTCCCCGGCAATGGACCAGCTGCTGCACTGCGCCTCATCGCTCCGGTGAGTGACAAAAGAACGCTTTAAGTGTCATGTGTTGCATGTGTATGTGAGTGTGTGAGCCTTGAGCCATCTGTATGGCATGCCATACCATCTGCATCGCATGCATGTACCCTCTGTCGCGAGCCCCTGTTCCCCTGGAAGGTTCAGGTGGATGGATCGTCAGCTGCAGCTCATCACCTCTGTGAGTCGGATCTGATGTGCTGCCTGTGCAGGTTTCCTGTCGTGATTGGGTGACTCATGCGTATGGCATGCATGTACCCTCTATTGTGGGGTGTTCTTGAGAATTCTCCTAAACACCCGGATGTGCTACCTGTGCAGGTTTCATGTCGTGATTGGGTGACTCATGCGTATGGCATGCATGTACCCTCTATTGTGGGGTGTTCTTGAGAATTCTCCTAAACATCCGGATGTGCTGCCTGTGCAGGCTTCATGTCGTGATTGGGTGACTCATGCGTATGGCATGCATGTACCCTCTATTGTGGGGTGTTCTTGAGAATTCTCCTAAACACCCGGATGTGCTGCCTGTGCAGGCTTCATGTCGTGATTGGGTGACTCATGCGTATGGCATGCATGTACCCTCTATTGTGGGGTGTTCTTGAGAATTCTCCTAAACACCCGGATGTGCTGCCTGTGCAGGCTTCATGTCGTGATTGGGTGACTCATGCGTATGGCATGCATGTACCCTCTATTGTGGGGTGTTCTTGAGAATTCTCCTAAACACCCGGATGTGCTGCCTGTGCAGGTTTCATGTCGTGATTGGGTGACTCATGCGTGTGGCATGCATGTACCCTCTATTGTGGGGTGTTCTTGAGAATTCTCCTAAACTCCCGGATGTGCTGCCTGTGCAGGTTTCATGTCGTGATTGTGTGACTCATGTGTGTGACATGCATGGCTTTTTGAGGCGCCTTAAAAGTCGTGATTGTGTGAGTCATGTGAATGGCATGCATGTACCTACCCTCTATTGTGAGCCTCTATTCCCCGGGAAGGGCTATGTGGATCAGCTAAATGCCCCTCCCTCGCCATCCCCATCCGCCTCCCTCCTACCTCCAGATCATCGGCTCTCCAGATGATTCTGACATCACCTTCCTTGAGAGTGACAACGCTCGTCGCTACGTGCGTTCGTTGCCCTTCGTGCGCAAGCAACCGCTTGCCACTCACTTCCCCAACATGGCGCCCCTGGCTCTAGATCTCATGGAGCGGATGCTGCTGTTTGACCCAGCTAAGCGGATCACAGGTGTGTGTCAATGTGTTACGTGGCGGTGAGGGTATGTGTGTGTGTATGTTGCTCCTCTTTGTTCGCCTGCTTCCCCAACTTGGCTCCGTTTAGACATGGGCAAAAGAAAAAATCGCATTGCATCGCATCGCATCGCATTTAATCGTTTTGTTTGTTTTTTTTTTTTTTTTTTTTTTTATCATCGCGCAATGCGATGAATTGTTTATCACGCGATTTAATTTAGATCGCATTTTAATCGCCTTAAAAACGCGATTTAAATGCGATATGCGATTTTTTTAAAATCGCGCGGGATGTCGCACTGAAACCCACTCTGAAACCCACTACGAAACCACACTAGTTATTTGCACTCTAGCTTACGACTGCCCGTGATTCAATTTCCCGGCAGCCATGGTTTTTTTCTGTTTTTTTTGGGGTGTTTTCTTATTCTGTTTTAAAACGCGATGCATTTAAAAATCGCATCGCGCGATTTAATTAAATACCGCATGCGGTTTTAATATTCATCGCACGCAAAACGCGATGTGCGGTTTATTTTTTCCAGAAATTAAATCGCGTGATGCGATTTAAAATCGCATCGCATTTAATTAAATCGCCCCCCAATGCGATGCGATTTATATCGCAATCGCATTTTGCCCATGTCTAGCTCCTTTGGCCCTAGATCTCATGGAGCGGATGCTGCTGTTGGACCCGGCAAGGAGAATCACAGTGGGAGTCCACGTGCGGGTAGAATGTGAATGTATGTGTGTCGCAAGCAGCCCCTCGCCACTCGCTTCCTCAGCAGGGCGCCATTGGCTCTAGATCTGAGGGAACAAATGCCGCTCTTCAGCAGTCTCTAGACCGCCCCTACCTGGCCAGTCCACTCGATATCAGCCACGAGCCCACATGCCTCACGAACCTACATGCCCTCACGAACCTACATGCCCTCACGAACCCATGTGCCCCAATTATTCCCTGACTCCCCCCTTTCCTCTCTCTTCCCACAGGTGACGAGTCTCTAGACCATGTCTGTCTGGCCAGCCTGCTCAATATCACTTCTATAGACCACCCCCACCTGGCCATTCGGCGACGAACCCACATGACACTTGCCCTTCTCTCTCCTCCCCCAGTCCCCTCCCTTCACTCTCCTCTTTCCCCTTCCCCACATCCCCCATTTGTGTCTAGTCGAGGAATCTCTAGATCACCCCTACCTGGCCAGTCTCCACGACATAAGTGACGAGCCCACGTGCCATGCGCCCTTCACCTTTGACTTTGAGCACCCGGTTCTACCCGAAGAGACCATCAAGGACTTGATATGGGCGGAGGCGAGGTCGCTCAATCGCGACTTCTAAGGGGGATGGGGTGTACATGAGGTGTTGATGCAGGGTTGTGTGGACATGCCACCGATGGGAATGCAGCACGTGCCGTGCGCCCTTCACCTTCGACTTTGAGCACCCGGTTCAATCTGACGAGACCATCAAGGATTTGATATGGGCGGAGGCAAGGTCGCTAGACCGCGACTTCTAAAAGGGATGGGTGTAGTAGGTTAATGGGTAACGTGGTTGGCAGTAGCTACTATGGGATGGGAAAGCGCCACGTGTGGAAGCTGTAATATTTCGACAGGTGTTGCAGGAGTCGAAGTATAGAATCTGCAAACACGAACACTTGGAAAACCTCAAATGTTAGCCTAGGATCTTTACTGGAATGGTAGACTAGTAAGACAGCGGAAGTCTTGTAAAAGTGAACCTGAGTATATGTTTCTGCAGAAGTTAAGCCTTAAAGTTCTCAAAGTTGAAATCTCAAGGTTGATAATAAAAAGGACAGAACAAAGATTTATAGCTCTAGGAAAGGTACCTGCTCGTTAATGTACCTGTTCGTCACTATCGCGCTATGCGTCCTAAATGACAATGAAGAGGTGCGACTATTCGCGTGACTGAAACGACTGTCCTATGACGAGCGCTATTTGCTGACGTCATCCTACGGACTTATCTTCTACAGAAAGATTCGACACTATCTGTCGATAAACAACTTACAGAAATGCTAAGTATGAAATAACCACTACAGAAGCAAGGCCATGTGAATGTTGTGTTTGTTGGGCTGAGAAAAAGCCCTTAGGATCTTTTCAGACACTAAGTCCCAGCTGTGAAGACTTGAGCCTTTGAGTAGTGCAGCGGAAGTTGAGACGGTTGAACCCTTGTACTAGTATGTGAGAACAAGTGATTGATTAAGGAAACAAGCATACAGAGATATATAGAAGATAAGAAAGCAGTTGTAGAGTACAGTTACAGGGACGGTTTATCGAGTCGCACAGCGACTCGATTGCTGCTTCGGTTACCATCCATGATGCTGTAACGGTCAGTCGCAACCTCCAGTTGCGACCTTTCGCATTCTTTGTCCGCCCCCTCGTGTAACCTCCGTTGACTCGCGTGCTCCCTTGTAGTCTTCCTCGAGTGTAGTGTTATACTTCAGAAACGCTTAAGTTCTTTGAGATATTTCCAACACTCCCCTTCGTTTCTGGAGTGCTGTTATGTTCGGATCTGGTGACGTTTGTCTGTCCGGTCAGCAGCATGCAGTGGTCGAATTTTGTCTTCGCCAATTTCTTCGTCAAATAGTCTGCGGCCATTTCTGTCGTCGGGCAGTAACTGAGTTGAAGTCTCCCCTTCGCGATTTCATCCTTGACGAAGAAGTACCGTAGGGCGATGTGCTTGGTTCGGTTGGCGAAGCCATCCTTGTTCGCGATTTTGATCGCGGATTGGTTGTCGCAGAGGAGTGAGAAGGCGGGTAGGGTCGCGATCTTCGCTTCCTCGAGTAACTCCCGTAGGTAGAGTCCTTCCTTGGTCGCAGTACCAAGGGCGATATACTCTGCTTCAGCCGAGGATAGTGCGATTAACTCCTGCTTGCTCGACTGCCAGGAGATAGTTCCGATGGGCTCTAGTCGGTAGATGTAGCCCGTCCTGGATCGTCGATTTTCCTTATCTCCCGCGTGGTCGGCGTCGACATATCCGAGTAGTCGTACAGACGGTGTTGTTGCTTTGCTGTAGGTAAGCCCGATCGTCGGCGTGGAGACGAAGTAGAGTAGTGCCCGGTTGAGCTCCTCGAGATCTTCCTGTTCCGGTTGCTTCAGATGCGTCGCCAGTTGACTTGCACTGTAGGACAGGTCGGGTCGGCAGGTTACTGCTACGAATAGTAGGCAGCCGAGCTTCTGTTGATACTCCTGGATTTGCTTCGCGGGGAGTTTTGCGGGGGCGCTGTTGTTATTTCCGTAGCGGTAGGGGGTCGGGACCGTAGTCGGCGTCAGTCCGAATTTCTTCGCGATAGTGCCTGCGTACTTTCCAGCGTGTAGGTAGAACGCCGAGTTGTCTTCGACGACATTTAGTCCCAAGTACTGGGTCACTGAGTCGGACACCGTGATCGTCAGGTCTCCTTTCAGCTCCCCTTCGAACCAGGTGGCGATGTCGGTGGTAGAACTGATGTAGAGTAGGTCGTCGACATAGACGATGAGTAGGATGTATTCTCTTCCCTGCTGCAGTTGGTACATGCCTTGGTCATGCGGTAGCTGTAGGAATCCAATTTTTACGAGCCGGCCGTGAAGATGCTGCTGCCAGAGCCGCGGGGCTTGCTTGATCCCGTAAAGGGATTTTGTCAGTTGGCATACTTTCGTGGGGTCGTCGATGAATCCGTGGGGTTGTTCGACGAAGATCTCAGCGTCCACAGGTGCGTATAGGAACGCATTCGCGACGTCGATTTGGCGTAGTGGTAATGTCTTCGTGGCCGCGATGGCGAGTAGGATGCGTAATGAGGTGTGACGGGAGACTGGAGCGAAGGTTTCTGTGTAGTCGGTCCCGTATCGTTGATCGAAGCCTCGTACGACCCATCGAGCTTTGAATCGTTCGATGGAGCCGTCTGAGTTGGTCTTAATGCGGTACACCCATTTCCCCGAGAGGACGTTCTTCCCGTTGATGCTTGTTGCAGGTACCAGTTTCCATGTTTTCCGGTCTTGCAGAGCCTTTAACTCCTTTTCCATCGCTTCCTTCCATTTCGCCTTATGTTCTCCCCCCAGAGCCTGCGACAAGGTTGAAGGCTCTCGCGGAGAAGGCGGCGGCGGATGCTGGACGGAGACCCAGAGGCCTAGAATCTGCAGTCCCGTGGGTGTGTGTCGAGGGGAATTTTCATTCCCGGAATAAGCTGCTTCGTCACCGTCTTCTGGGTCAGGTAAGAAGTTGGGACCGATGCGTTCTGAAACATTTGTGTCGACTGGGTGGGGTGTAACGTAACCTTGGTCAGCGAAGTGGTAAAAGGTGTCGAGGTTGTTGCTATCGAGAGGATTTTCTTCGTCGAGTGGAACAGGTACGGAACAGAATGGGAGTGGTCCGGCAGCTTCCGAGGCTTCAGGTACGTCTTCTTCTGCTGCGTCAGCTTCGGCGGCACGGTCGGCGAAGGAACGAAGTCCTGAGAAGCCGTCGGTGGGGTCTTGTGTGTTGGCAATGTTGTCCAGGTAATGCTGCAGCGTCAGTCGCTCGTAGAAGATAACATCTCGTGATGCCACCGTGTTTTTGTTTTGTATGTCGAGAATTTTCCACGCGTGAAAATGTTTGGCGATGCCGAGGTGTAGTCCCCACCGAGCTCGTTGTGTGAAGCGTCCTGCTCGGGCTGTGTGGGGTCTGTACTGTACCATGCAGCAAAAAACTCTGAGTAATTTTGTGCTGCCCCTTTTTCGTGTCCACAACAGGTGCGGTGATGCGTTGTTGGGAAGTGATGACGAGGACAGCAGGTTGTGCAGGTGAACAGCATGTGTCATCGCGTCGGGCCACAGTGTGGTTGGCAGTCTCATCCCCTGAAGCAGTTTTCGCATTGTCGTCTGCAAGGTCCGATTCATGCGTTCTGCGACCCCCTGCTGTTGGTGAGCATAGGGCAGGGACACCAGGCGTCTGATTCCTCTTTCCGCCAGATAGGTCCTGAAGCGTTGTGACTGGTATTCCAGTGCACCGTCTGACTGGAAGCTCTTGAGTTTGAGTCCTGATTCTCGTTCGGCGATGGGAAGCCATGTTGTGAAGGCTTCGAAGGCTTGATCGCGCGTCGTGAGATTGAAGTGCCAGACATATCTGGTTGCGGCGTCGATGAACGTGATGACGTAGTTGAAGTCGGCTTCGGTGCCCTCTCGAGGCATGTTTAAAATATCGCTGTAGACCTTTTCCATCGGAGCGTAAGTAGGTGCGCTTGGGTTGTGATGGGATGGGAAAGGTTGATGAGGAAGATCTGCTTCGGGGCATGTGAAGCACCGTGCGCGTGGTCGTCGAAGTTCTTGGCCGCTCGTCGTCAGAAGGGCGTTGCGTTCTAACACATCTGCTTGGATTGTTTGAAGTATCGTGCTGTTTGCAGGATGTCCTAGACGTTGGTGCCAGATGTCGTCGGGAGCGCGGTGACCGGGCGAGCGGTGGTAGATGTCGGCGTTGGAGAAGAACGCGACGACCGAGGCGGGACTTCGACAAGCTTCTCGTGTGGCGGGCATAAGTTGGTCTGCTTCGGTTGGCGGTCCTCGTGTCGCTGGTGGTGGTACTCGGCTGGGTCCTGCTGCCGATACTGCAGGTGATGGTTTTGTTAGGACACGTGCGGGTACTTGTCTTTCTTGTCTGATAACTGCTAATGCTCGTGTTCTCTCTGTTGCAGGTATGGTGTTGGAGTGCCAGAAGCCGTCACTGTCGAAGTCGGGATCAAGATCCGGCGGGTGAGTCCAGGCGGCGAATGATACGATACCGTCGCTGTCGGCAGTACCGCGGTCGGGGACGAAGTCCAACACGAAGACGCCGGACTTCAGGAGGGCACGACCGATGAAGAGGCCGCCCTTCCCGTGGTAAAGCCGAAACTCGTTGGAGTAGGAGTCGCACTCCAGGTGAATCCCCTTGGCCATTAGTTGGCTTACGCTTAGTAGGTTGTATCCCAGATTGTCGACAATGAGCACTTTGTTGAGCTGAAGTATGACGTTTGTCTCCATCGATTGTAACTGAACCACGCCTTGTCTGTTTGTCTTCAGGTTTTCGTTGTTGGCGACGGTGATGACGACGTCGCGGTTGAGGCGTTTCTCCTGTTGCACGAAGCGTCCCGAGGAGCACATGTGTTGACCGCAGCAGCTGTCCAAGAACCAGGTGTTTCGCCCGGTGGGTTCGGCGTTGGCGACCGCAGCATATGTTGGATTGACTTGAAGGCCTTGTGAGCGTGGTGGCGGCAGCTCTTCTTCGTCTGGCGCGTAGGTGGGTGGTGATCCGGGTGCGCAGTTGTCGATGTGTACCATGCAATTGATAATGTTTGGTGTTTGTTGTGCAGATGTTGAAGAGCGCCTTGGGGGACTGGCTTGAGTAGAAGTTACTTGTGGGTCTGCTGCACGGTAAACGCGAGGGCGGTTGCAGTTGACTTTGGAGTGCCCGGAAGTCTGGCAGTTGTGGCAGAACGGCGGTACGATGGTGAGTCCTCGGTTGTCGCGTTGATCTTGCTTGTTGCGTCGGTTGTAGTTGTTGTCATTTCTTCTTTGAGTGTAGAAGACTAACTGCTGTTGCTTCCTTGGTTGTCTTTCCTCGAACAGATCCATCTCCTGTTGTTCAGCGTGAAGCTCGGCGCAGAGGTGCATCTCCGAAATTCTTCCGTGGGCTCGAAGAAGTGATCGTGTGGTTCTCCATTCTGGCCCGAGCCCGGCGAGGACAAGTGTTACGAAGCTTTCTTCAGTGATCGTTCCTCCGCACCGGAGCAGGCGGTCTCGGAGGGTTTGGCAGCGACTCATATACTGCATTGCCTTTTCCCCGGTCTTCATCTGTATTGTTGTCAGCTGTTGCATGAGTCTGCTTTGTGTCACGCTGTCGTTTGCTTGATAGAGGCACTTGAGATGATGCCATGCGAGTTCCGCGGAGTTTCCATAACTCCGATACGTTCTGATGCTCTGCTGCTCTTGTGGTGACAGGTTTCTCAGGAGTACCGTATACGCCAGCAGCGACTGATACGTGAAGATTTCTTGTTCCTTCCCAGTGCCGTTGCTTGGGAATGGCAGGGACCCGTTGAAGTATCCCAGAAGGTGCGCGGCCTCCATCAGCAGCTCGAATTCGAAGCTCCAGGTAAAGAAGTCATGTCCGTTGAACGGTGAGGATGTCTGAAGTTTAATTACGTGTGAGAACTGTGCCTGAAGACTTAAGATTTCGTTCGGTGTTTGTTGTGATGCAGCTGCTGTTGGCTGGGCGCGGGGCGGCATGAACTCGAACGTCCCCGGTGAAGAGTGATAAGGCGCAAAGGTAGGTGCTTGATTGTGTCGCCCGAAGGATGAGTTGTCGAGGCTCATCGGCGCTAATCCCATATTCCCTCCATTGCTCTGTGTTGAGTGCGCAGGTGTCCTTGTCTGCTGCTGCTGGTCGAAGTGTGACATGAAGCTGAAGAATCTCTCCATGAGATTCGGGTCCACACTTGAAGAGGGAGACGGAGTCACCATTTCCGGTGCTCTTCCCGTTGTTTCTTGAGCAGTCCCGGTCTCTGTCTGCAGTCCTGAGGTGTGCAGACCAGAGTTGCCGTGTTGAGTTTCTTGGGCGCTGGGTGAGCCCGTAGAGGCTTTCTTGCCCTTGTTGTCCATGTCTTGTAATCAATGGAGTTGTTGAGTCAAGTCGAGTTACTGGTTGTTGATGGAGTGTAGTTGCTGGGAGTTTGGTCTCTGACCAGCTCTCATACCATGTTGGGCTGAGAAAAAGCCCTTAGGATCTTTTCATGCACTAAGTCCCAGCTGTGAAGACTTGAGCCTTTGAGTAGTGCAGCGGAAGTTGAGACGGTTGAACCCTTGTACTAGTATGTGAGAACAAGTGATTGATTAAGGAAACAAGCATACAGCAATATATAGAAGATAAGAAAGCAGTTGTAGAGTACAGTTACAGGGACGGTTTATCGAGTCGCACAGCGACTCGATTGCTGCTTCGGTTACCATCCATGATGCTGTAACGGTCAGTCGCAACCTCCAGTTGCGACCTTTCGCATTCTTTGTCCGCCCCCTCGTGTAACCTCCGTTGACTCGCGTGCTCCCTTGTAGTCTTCCTCGAGTGTAGTGTTATACTTCAGAAACGCTTAAGTTCTTTGAGATATTTCCAACAGTGTTGCCATCACCTTCATTCGTCAACCACCTGCTTTGTTTTATTACACAATCAATCAAGGGCTTACCTAATTTGGGAGGAAAGGTCTCCCAATTGTGACTTAGAGGGGTTGAGCAGGAAAATGAGTGTATTTGAGGTGAGGCTGCGTTGAGGGTAACTTGCCTCTACCTATGTTATGATAGATTCGTCCACTAGTTCATTCTGTTATGGAACTTCTGGATTTTCAGCTAATTGTAACCTCAAGGTGAACGAACGTCAGCGACAATGTAACCCAACATCCCTGGCGACTGGCAACCTCGGGGCCGTTGTCTCTTCTCCGTCTCCACCGACAATGGGGCAGTGACGTCGATTTGAACATAATCAACGGTCAAGATTGTGCGAGGCTGTTTCAGCATCGCAGCATTCAGCACAAAGCCTGGTTCAGTCAGTCAACCCGCAACGTCTCTTCAGTCAGTCACGAGGAGCCCTAGGCCGTTAATAATCCAAACAGAATCCGTCAGTTTTTTTCAGACTCGGAATCGCAACGGAATTCTGCGACTCCTAGGCGTGTTCGTCGGGTTCAGCTGCTGTTAGGGCTAACGGCGGCCGTTAGCCCTAGCGACTTTCTGATGACGGGATCCACGTGAACTTCCACCTCATCGCCGTTCCTTACGAACCAATGGCAATGCCGTTAGCAGATACCTTAAGCCTCTTATTTTAACCATCGCTTCGTGAACGTCATCAGGCTAGCGGCGTCGTCGACGGCTCGGGAGTTTGGAGACGGCTGTATCGCATGGCTGTTAGCCTGAACGTCACATTAGGTAACAGAAAGGGACACCTGGATGCCGAAACGAGCCAATGATTTCAGGGCCGTTTGGCGTAACTCCTCACACGCGTACAGCCTTGCACGCCTTACATATCCTCAGTATGTCGAAATGCTTGAGACGTGGTAGCTGCTAGTACTGGCTTTAGTGGCAACATTCTAGCAACATTCTCACCCATTCAAGTAGTACAGTGCACCGTAAGTGAGAAGGGTCACGTGGGCACTGGCTATTCACTCGCCGCGTTGTCGCTCCAGCGTAGCAAATTACTGCCGTGAATTACCGCCTGGCACGAACACCCGCCAGAAATTACGCTCGAAGATACGCCAATCGAATAGAAGATACGCCAGAAGATTACGTGTAGATACGCCGCTTTTAGACACGCGAAAGCTCGCGATGGCTGCTGTGGGAGCGGGCGGCGGCAGCAGATCAACGGGCGTTGTTGCTTCCCTAAGTATTGCAACGAGTAGCCTACTAACGTGTGGAGCGAGTAGTGTAGAAAGCAACAGCGTAAGCGATAACGGAAGCTGTACTGCACGCAATGGGTGTGAGATGACGGGAAACGGAGGAGCTGGAATTGGAGCAGCTAATAACGGAGCACTGACAGCGAGTCTGGGGGGAAACGGAGGAACCAGTGGCACAGCGACAGGTGGCGCACCACGGTTGGCTCTCTCGGCTCGTGACTTCACATACGGACGACTCCTGGGTCTTGGCTCCTACTCCAAGGTGAGACCCTCTCTCTCCTACTCTAAGGTTAGACCTTCCCCCTCCTACTCCAAGGCAAGACGCTCTCACTCCGACTGTGAGGTAAGACCCTCTACAGTCGCATGCCTATGTGAGATTGTCCAAGGTTAGATGCTCTCTCATTGAGGTGAGACCCTCCCTCGCCTAGTGTGAGGTAAGTATCACAACCTCTCCTACTCTTCTCGTGCGAGGTACTGTAATACTCTCGTTCTGGGTTCAATATTTTTCTATTGTGGGATCCCTTGAGTGAGCGTCACCCTTGGCAGTGCACCAGCTTCACCTTCTACCTCCACATCCTCTTTTGTTCCCCTTCTTGGGCCCAGGTTGTGTTGGCTCGACAAAAGTCAAGCAAGGCTGCTTATAACGAGGACGAGGGCTGCCCTCCCGGGACTGAGTGTGCACTAAAGATCATGGACAAGCGGCACATAGTGAAAGAGAAGAAGGTGGCGTATGTGAAGATGGAGCGGATGATTCCGTCTTCTCACCCCCCCCCCATATACCCTCTCCCCCTCCTTTCACCCTCACTTTCTTTCTTGGGCCAAGGTTGTGTTGGCTCGACGCAAGCCAAGCAGAACTGCTTGCAGCAGCGATGCAGCTTATAACGAGGACGAGGGCTGTGCTCCCGGGTCTGAGTGTGCACTAAAGATCACGGACAAGCGGCACATAGTGAAAGAGAAGAAGGTGGCGTATGTGAAGACGGAGCGGATGATTCCGTCTTCTCACCCCCCCCCCATATACCCTCTCCCCCTCCTTTCACCCTCACTTTCTTTCTTGGGCCAAGGTTGTGTTGGCTCGACGCAAGCCAAGCAGAACTGCTTGCAGCAGCGATGCAGCTTATAACGAGGACGAGGGCTGTGCTCCCGGGTCTGAGTGTGCACTAAAGATCATGGACAAGAGACATATAGTGAAAGAGAAGAAGGTGGCAAATGTGAAGATGGAGCGAACATTCAGTCTCAGCACCCCATATACCCTCTCCCTCCCTTTTACCCTCACTTTCTTTCTTGGGCCCAGGTTGTTTTGGCTCGGCGCAAGCCAAGCAGAGCTGCTTGCAGCAACGATGCAGTTTATAACGAGGGCGAGGGCTGCCCTCCCGGGACTGAGTGCGCACTGAAGATCATGGACAAAAGACATATCGTGAAGGAGAAGAAGGTTGCTTATGTGAAGATGGAGCGGATGATTCTGGATCGACTAAGGCACCCAGGGATCGTGCGCCTGCTGTTCACGTTTCAAGACGAGCACTCACTGTGTAAGAGGCGGTTTCAGAGTGTGTGGGAGTGTGCAAGCGTGAGGGAGTGTGTGTGTGTGTGTGTGTGAAGGAGCGTTTGAGGGAGTGTGCAAGTGTTGAGGGAGTGCTCGAGTGCGCTCTGAAGGTCATGCAGAAACGGCACATAGTGAAGGAGAGGAGGGTGGCGTATGTGAAGATTGAGTGCATGATTCTGGTCTGGCTGAGGCACCGGGGGATCGTGCGCGTCTCAAGACGAGCACTCCCTGTGTAAGTGGCGGTCTCAGGGTGTGATGGTCTGTGGGAGTGTGGGGGAGTGTTCCTGTGTGGCTGCACCCTGAGGCACCTGGGGATCGTGCGCCTGCTGTTCACTTTTCAAGATGAGCACTCCCTCTGTAAGATTTGATTCCTGAGTTTCGAGACAGCCATGTCCTTTGTAGCTTCAAGACTGGCGCTGGCTTGTAATTTTAAGCTTCATTTTAATATGGGGGGGGCTTGTAATTTTAAGCTTAATTTTAATACGGGCGTGGCTTGTAATTTTAATACGCGGTTTCAGTGCATGGCTTCGTAGCTTCATGACAGGCGCTGGCTTGTAATTGTAAGTTCTTTAATGCCTAAGTTCTACCTCTTCTCAAAACTACACTGGCTTGCAGGTTTGAGTTCTTGGCAAGCGCTTAAAGCCTGAGTCCATCCTGTCTTGTCTTTTGGTTCATTCTCCTGCCCTTTCTCCCTCCTCTATCCCTCTACCGCTACCGCATAGGCATGGATCTGGAGAGCTGCGTGTAACTGTATTTGAGACGTTTCAAAGAAGCCTCCTCTCCTCTTTTCTCTCCTTTTCTCTCCTGTTTTCCTCTTCCTTGTCCCTCCTCCCCCCCATTCCTTTCCTTTCCCCCCCTCCTATCCCTCCACCAAACAGACATGGGGCTGGAGTGCTGCCATGGGGGAGAGCTCTTTGACCAAATCAGACTGGTACGTGCATGCATAGCTGCTCCACACACACACACAGACACACACACACACACACACACACACACACACACACACACACACACACAGAGCACCACCCCCCCTGCCCCCACACACACGCACAGCATACACGCACAGCATACGCGCACAGCATACACGCACAGCATACACGCACAGCATACGCGCACAGCATACACGCACAGCATACACGCACAGCATACACGCACAGCATACATGCACAGCATACACGCACAGCATACACGCACAGCATACACGCACAGCATACACGCACAGCATACACGCACAGCATACACGCACAGCATACACGCACAGCATGCACGCACAGCATGCACGCACAGCATGCACGCACAGCATGCACGCACAGCATACACGCACAGCATACACGCACAGCATACACGCACAGCATGCACGCACAGCGTGCACGCACAGCATGCACGCACAGCATGCACGCACAGCATACACGCACAGCATGCACGCACAGCATACACGCACAGCATACACGCACAGCATACACGCACAGCATACACGCACAGCATACACGCACAGCATACACGCACAGCACACACGCACAGCACACACGCACAGCACACACGCACAGCACACACGCACAGCACACACGCACAGCACACACGCACAGCCAAGGTTGAAAAAAACGGCAGGCCGTTTTTTTCGATCGTTTTTTTCGATGGTATAATACGGTTATTTTCTGAAAAAAACGACCTTCTTTTAATAGGCCTTTTTTTTTCTTTTTTTCTTTTTTCTCGGCGAAAAAAAAAAAGCACACAACTACGCTGCTGGTGGCTACGGTGCACGCAAGGTGGGTGTGTAAAATACAGAGAAAAACTCCACCTATTCCCTCTTACTTACTCCTCCTACCTACCTACTAGGCTACTACTCCTCCTACTCCTCCTACTCCTCCTACTCCTCCTGCTCCTCCTGCTCCTCCTACTCCTCCTCCTCCTCCTCCTCCTCCTCCTCCTCCTCCTCCTCCTCCTCCTCCTCCTCCTCCTCCTCCTCCTCCTCCTCCTCCTCCTCCTCCTCCTCCTCCTCCTCCTCCTCCTCCTCCTCCCCCTCCCTCTCCTCCTCCTCCTGCTCCTGCTCCTCCTCGGGATCTTCGTGTCCTCCCCCCTCCCCCTGCCCCTCCCCCCTCTCCTTACCCTCACCCCCTCCCATGACGAAATCCCATGGCCCAAGGCCATCCTCCTCCTCCCCCTCGCTGCTGCCATCGCGCGTGCTGTTGGCGGGCTCCTCCTCTACCTCTTTGCCGCGTTTTCCAGCACCCTTCTTTTCCCCGCACACCTTCTTCCCTCCCTGCCCCTTCTTCCCCTTCATCTTACGCTTCTTGGGCGCACCGATGTTTCCAAAGGTGGCCCAATCGATGGTGCACGCTCCAGCACGCTCCTCCTCCTGCACCTCCTCCTCCTCTTCCCCCTCCCCGCCCATCGCTTGAGAGGAAGCGGTGAGGGAAGGAGGGACGCTCCCTTCCCCCAACACGCTAGACCCGAGGTCGGCGTAGAGGCTACGGGCTGCCTGTTTCCGATCGAAGGCGGCCCGTGATCGCCGGCTGAACGCCACCACCGTGACGTCGATCATGGTGTTGGAACTCAGCCGGTTGCGATCACGTCGCTGCACCCGGTTGAAGGCCGACCATGCGCGCTCCACCTCGCTCGACGTGCAGGGCTGGGAGAGGATCTTGACGGCCATCTCCTGAAGCGCCCTCACCTCCCCCCCGAAGGTGGACCACCACTCCGCTTCAGAAAGCCTCCCACTCTCCACCAAATTGGTGGCGGCCCACCGTGCCTCCTTGCCTCCCAAACTCCCATTCCCACTATGGTAATGGGCGAGTTGGGCTCGAAGGAGAGTGCGACCTTGAATGTCCGCCGCACGCGCCTTCAACACCTCATCCATTCCGTTCAAGATCTCGGAATCACCCCGAACCTCTTCGGCAAAACGGTTGACCGGGTTGAGGAGCCAACCAGCCGCGTGAAGAGGGTTATGCAGCTGGCCGTCCCAACGGTGAGCGATAATCCGACGCACCTTGGCCAAGAAGGACGCCTTGTCCTTGGCCATGAGCAGCCCGGTCTTCTTCACGAAATACGTGGCTGCACATGCACGACCAAGACAAGTTGTACGTCACAAGTTAGTGTGGGGTATGGTGTGGAGGGTGTGGGACGTGTACACAAGCAAAAAATCAGAGACACGCATGGTGCATGTGGAGCATGGGTGGGGAACATACCAGCCCGCTCGGCCGCCTCGTTGGTCTTCATCGTGGCGTCAAGCATCAACCCGTAGATCCGGCCCATGAGGTGAGCACGTGTGTCCACCTCTCGGAGCACTTCGTACACCGGCGTCATGAGCTTCAACACCACCTCCACCGAGCCCCAAAAAGCATCGTCGAGGAGGAGGCGGCGGATTCGGCGCCCCTCCTCTGTTTTAGCAGCCGGCACCTCCCCCCACTCTTCACTTATGACCATGTTTCGCATTTGCCTCTTCACCTCCAAGAACCGGCCCACCATGATCACTTGGGTTCCGAATCTGGTGGTTCCCGGTCTAACGAGCTCAAGCTCGCTGTAAACCTCTCGGAAGAGGTTCACAGCGGTAGAGCTGTTCTTAACAAGCATCACCACCCGGTGAGCTTGAAGCAAGACCTTCTTCACCACCGCAATTGACCCGAGATCTTGAAGCATCAAATCCAAGCAATGTGCGGCGCAGTTCGTAAAAAACACGGAGGGGTACCCATCGCGGAGCTCGTCGGCCGCCTTTTTGTTGTTACTCGCATTGTCCATAACCACTTGGACAACGCGGTTATCTCCCACCTCCACAAGTGCCGGGCGGATCAGCGATGCAAGGTAGGCGCCTGTCTTCTTGTGCGTCTTGGTGTCCACCACGGCAACGACAACGGGCGCCGTGTCATTCATGGCGATGATGCAAACAAGGCCGCGGTTCTTCATGTCCGACCACCCATCCACGGATAGAGAGCACCCGGTCGTGGCCCACGAGTCTCGGATCGGCGTCATGAGGGCATCCGTGTCGGCCTTGAGCTTGTCGAGGAGCGGGTGAGAGACCTTGTACGCACTCGGGAGCGTGTACGGCTTCCCGTAAGCGTCCACCCCCTCGACGAACGATTGCAAGGCGGGTGACCTAGGTGAGGGGGGTGGGGTGGAAGCGGTAATTAGTCGGAGCACTGGGCAGAGCATGCCAAGCAAGCGCGACAAGTTCAGAAAGGAAGTGGTAAGATGCACGTGCATGAAAAAATCTCGGGCCATGCTTACTGTGAAACGCGGAAGGCCCAATCGTTTTCGACGACGGCGGTGGCCCAAAGGAGATCCAATGCGTCACGACCGGCCTTGTCGACCATCCCTCGGATGTCCCGATTTCGGTTGCGCTTGACGGCCGGAGCTGGAACCGCGGATGTGGACCCGTGGATGTTGGAGGCGGTGGTAGTTGGGGTGAGACCCTTGGTGCGGAGGTTCTTAGCGAACTCGCTCTTGCACTCCGCCACATTCTTGAACTTGAAAGCCGGGGTGCCATACAAGTGCTCCTGAATGCGAGTCACGCTACCAGTAATGTTGATGCTGCAGTAGTTGCACTCCGTCCGGATGACCTTGCCGTGGTCATCTTGGGTGCGGGTCACGTGCGCCCACAAAGCCGACGGGGTGCGCGGCATTGCGAAAGTATGCTATCTAGAATCGACGTAGACGGGCGATGAAATGCGCGCAGGCGACGGACTGGATTGGGCGGCCTAAAATCGCCCCAGCTAGCTTGGGCGTCAGTTCAGGTGCTTCACTCTTAAGGTATCTCTGTTGAATTTGGCTCTGTTTTTTAGCTCTGGATTTGTAGTTTGTGCTGTGAGTGATTGGGTTGGGATCTCTGTGCATGAGCGAGGTGGAAGGGATGAAATTGGATGCTGCTCCAATTTCGAAATGCGCCTCGGTACCATGCGTTCCGTTTTGCGCGAACACATGCTACTGGGCGCGAAAAAATAAACCAGCCCGTTGCGAAACGGACGACAATTTCGCAACAGATTTGGTGAACCGTCCGAAATGCGCGCCTCGGAAAAATGTCGAGGCCGCGCTTTGGGAATGTGTTGACTGAACACATTTCTGCGGTTGGGTGTACACCCAACCGCAGAAATGTGTAACAAATTTGTTCGTTTTGCAAACTCCATTACCTTCAAAAAAATCGGTCGATTAAAACGACCGTTTTTTTCCACCAATGAAAATGTAACATTCGGAATCGTTTTTTATCGTATTTAACGGCCGAAAAATACGATATCGTATAATACGGTGATTTTCTGAAAAAAACGACCTTTTTTAAACCTTGCGCACAGCACACACGCACACATGGAGGGAACTCTGCGTCTGAATAAGGCCTTCTACCTCTCACTCACCCTTCGCCTTTCTTTATCTTTGCCTTCTGCCTTCTGCCTCAGACTGTATAACATGTGCTTTTGAATCTCAATTCATTCGCAGCCTCAAGAGTCTTAGAATGCCCCAGTCCTGAGTCGCATGGCTGTGATAGGTTTTCGAGAATTCTAAAAAACCTTCTGCCTCAGCCTATATCGTGTGCCCTTGTATTCTCAATTCATTTGCTTCGCACCCTCTAGAGTCTTTGAATGCCTCGGTCTTGATCTGCAATGTCGTGTGCCCCGTACATCTCAATTCACGTGTGCCCTTATACGTCAATCCACGTGCGTCCTCTCAAGTGCAGAGAGGCATTTTATGGGAAGAAACAGGCCCGTTTGTTCTATGCAGCTTGCTGGTTGTCTGTGCCCACTTGATGTCTTTGCTTTACTCTCTTAATGTGTCCTCCTCTATACTCCTCTATACTCCTCTATACTCCTCTATATTCCTCTATACTCCTCTTCACTCCTCGTCCTTCCTTCCGTATTCAGAAGGGCAAGCTATTAGAGGACGAAGCTCGCTTCCATGCAGCAGAGGTGTTCTGTACTCCTCTTTACTCCTCTTTACTCCTCTTTAATCCACTTTACTCCCCTTTACTCCTCGTATATACAGAAGGGCAAGCTATCTGAGGACGAAGCTCGCTTCTATGCAGCAGAGGTGGTCTCTGCCCTCGAGTATATGCACTCGCAAGGAGTGGTGCACAGGGATCTTAAGGTGAGAGATCTTATAACGAGTACGTAGGGTGCTGTGCAGTAGAGGTGGTCTGTGCAGTTGAGTACATGCACTCGCAAGGAGTGGTGCACAGGGATTTTAAGGTGGGCAGTGAGAGATATTGTAATGAGGATACCCTGTTTTACACATTGGAGCGACATACCGCAGTCAAGGGCGCAAATGGTTTCAGTCACAAAACGAACAAAGTTAAGATCACAAGGATCGTCACGCCATCAACATATAATGTTATGTTAGTTTTGCCCCTTTGTTCAACCACAGAACAATCTCCTCACGGCCTCGGGCCGCGCTCGCATCTCAGAATTTGGATGCGCCATACTTCCCATTCCGTAGCTCCATCACTCCGTCACTCTCCCCCCCCTTCCCCCTCCTACACATGCATCTGCACGGCCGGAGGACATTCTTCTCACAGCATCGGGCCACATCCGCATCTCAGACTCTGGATGCGCCAAGCTTCCCACTCCCTCACTCCCCCTCCCGTTCCCCTTCCCTCACTCCCCCTCCCATTCCCCTTTCCCTCACCCCCCCTCCCATTCCCCTTTCCCTCACCCCCCCTCTCTCTTTGCACACTGCTGCAAACACACACCCACAGCTGGAGAACATTCTACTTACAACCTCGGGCCATGTGTGCATCTCAAACTCAGGATGCGCCAAGCTTCTCACTCCTGCACTCCCCATCCCCTCCCTCCTCTGCTTTTCTTTTTTCGCCCCCCTCCTGCACAGCTGGAGAACATTCTCCTCACAGCCTCGGGTCGGGCAACGTCCGCATCTCGTGTTAGAAACTGAGATTGTCCTCTCCTCTTTCCCCCTTCCCCTACATGTTTTTGCAGCCGGAGAACATTCTCCTCACCGCCTCGGGCCATGTCCGCATCTCCGACTTTGGATGCGCCAAGCTTCTCAGCAGCTGCCAATCAGCTGGGTCCACGTCAGCAGTAGATGCTGCAGCTGCTGCTATCGACTATGGTGGGTGCCCAACAGCTTGTCACCTCCCCTCCCTCCTCCCCTCCTCTTCCCATCCTCCCTCCCCCCGCCCATCCTCCCACCCCCCTTTTTTCTTTCACATCTCGGTTTCATGCCCACCTGCTTCATCCTCTCTCGTTTCTCTCTTTTCTCTCTTCTCTCCTTTTTGCCCTCTCCCTCTTTTCTCTCCGTTTGCATCTGCTCTCTTCTATCCCTTGGCCATCATTGCAGATGAGCGCAGTGGTTCGTTCGTGGCGACAGTAGCGTAAGACTTCCCGAGCTGCTCTTTCACGCGTGCTGCCCTTGCCTTTTTACAATCTCTCGCTACCCTGTATCCACCACAGATGAGCTCAGTGGGTCGTTCGTTTGTGGGGACAGCAGTGTTAAAACTTCCCGAGCTGCTCTTTCACGTGTGCTGCCCTTGCCTTTTTACAATTTCGCGCTACCCCTACACCACAGATGAGCTCAGTGGGTCGTTCGTTTGTGGGGACAGCAGAGTGTGCCCCCCCCCCTCTGAGCTGCACCACAATCACCCACTCCCCTTGCTGCCATGTTTCTCTTCCATATGAGTAAACCATGCGTGAGGAGTCTATTTTTGAGGCGCCTCAAAAATAGACTCTTCCCTTCCTGCTTCCGTTTCTCTCCCCATACCACAGACGGGCGCCGCGGGTCGTTTCTGGGGACGGCGGAATATGTTCCTCCTGAGCTGCTGGACAGCCACTCACTCCTCTTACTGGCACGTGCTGCCCTTGCCTTTGATTTTCTCTTTCCTCTCTACCCTTTATCGACCACAGATGAGCGCAGCGGGTCGTTTGTGGGGACGGCGGAATATGTTCCTCCGGAGCTGCTGGACAACGGCCCAGTGTCCTTTGAGTGAGCTCCCTGCATCCATGCATCCATGCATCCATGCATTCATGCATCCATGCACCCATGCACCTATGCATCCATGCACCCATGCACCTATGCATCCATGCACCCATTCATCCATGCACCCACCCATGCACCCACGCACCATGCTACGCCATGCCTCGTGTTAGAGTGACTCAAGACGGCAGAGTATGTTTCTGCTGAGCTGCTGTCGTGGCCCATGTCCTTTGAGAAAGCACCCATGCACCCATGCACTCATGCACCCATGCACCCATGCGCCCATGCACCCATGCACCTATGCCATGTCGTGGCATCTACACCATGTCCAGCGCTGGGCTGTGTCGTCTATCAGATGCTAGCCTGTGTGCCACCCGTCAAGGGAGCCAGCGAGTACCTCTGCTTCCAGATTTGATCTCTGGGCGCTGGGCTGCGTTGTCTATCAGATGCTAGAGGGTGTGCCGCCTTTCAAGGGCGCCAGCAAGTGCCTCTGCTTCCAGAAGACCCTCTTTGACGCCGCTCCTTCTCTTTGCCTCTTCTCTCCTTCCCATCCCCCTCTCGTTCCTCTATACCAGAACTGATCTCTGGGCGCTGGGCTGCATCGTCTACCAGATGCTAGCCGGTGTGCCGCCCGTCAAGGGAGCCAGCGAGTACCTCTGCTTCCAGAATGAACTATCCTGACCCGTCTTCTTCCCCCCTTCCCCGTCTCCTCCCCTACCTCCCTCTACCGTCCCTTCAGAGCTGACCTCTGGGCGCTGGGTTGTGTCGTCTACCAGATGATGGCGGGTGCACTGCCCTTCAACCTTCTCACTTGCCTCTCCCGGGTGTCCCCCTTCCTTCCCTCTTCCTCCACCATTCAGAGCTGACCTCTGGGCGCTGGGCTGTGTCGTCTACCAGATGCTCGCCGGTGTGCCGCCCTTCAAAGGCGCCAGCGAGTACCTCTGCTTCCAGAAGATTCTCTCTCGCGATCTCTGCGTGCCCAACCACTTCAGCAACGAGGCCCGGAGCCTGGTCAACTGCCTGCTGGTGCGTATAGTTCGTAAATTCAAGTTGATTCTCACAGAGTCATCCATTGAGTACCTCTGCTTTCAAAGGATTGTTTCTCGGGACCTCTGTGGGCCCAACCACTTCAGCAACGACGCTCGTAGCCTAGTGAACTGCTTGCTGGTTTGTATCTTGCCATCATTGAAAAGCAGCAGGCTGGCGATACGCACATGCGTACATGCGCACATGCGTGCATGCGTACGTGCATGGGTTACCTTCCGTTGTCCCCCAATAAGGCTTTCAGCCTTGTCAAGTGCTGGCTGGTATGTATCTTGACGTGATTGAAAAGCAGCACCACCAATGAGGCTCGCAGCCTTGATAAGAGCAGGCTGGTAGTTTACCTTTTCTTGTACCTTGGTAATCAGGCCAGCCTTCTCTACCATTGCTTAGACGTCCATGCTTCCATGCATGTACGCATGTATGCATGTATCCATGCATTCTTGCATGTACGCATGTATCCATGCATCCATGCATGTACGCATGTACGCATGTATGCATGCATTCTTGCATGTACGCATGTATCCATGCATCCATGCATGTGCACATGCCTGCATGCATGTGCACATGCCTGCATGCATGCATTTGAACACAATGGACTTCCCAAGAAGCGAACCTAAAAACCCCCCCTCCCTTCTCTCTCACTGCCTTCCTCTCTTCCCCCTCTCCTCTCCTCTCCTTCCCACACCCAACTCCTCCCTCCAACTTTCCCCTTCGTATGCTCCCCCCCCCTCCCCCCTCCCTCCTCCCTTCTTCCGTTCTTCCCCTCTTCCCATTTCCGTCTTCCCTCACTTCCCCCTTCCCCGTAGCCTTTAGGAGATGGAGCCCAAGAAGCGCTTGGGGTCAAGGCACGTGGGAGGGTATGCTCGGTTTAAATCCTCCACTTCCTTCCCCCTTCCCCTCTTCCCTCTTCCTCTTCCCTCTTCCCTCCTCCCTCTCCTCCCTCCTCCCTCCTCCCTCCTCCCTCCTCCCTCCTCCCTCCTCCCTCCTCCCTCCTCCCTCCTCCCTCCTCCCTCCTCCCTCCTCCCTCCTCCCTCCTCCCTCTTCCCTCACTCCCTCCTCCCCATTTGGCTTCAGGAGATGGAGCCCAAGAGGCGCCTGGGGTCAAGGCATGTGGGGGGGTACGCTCGGCTGAAATCCCACCCTTTTTTCTGCGGAATCCCTTGGGAAGAAACTAACCTCGATAAGCTAGGAGTGTCCCAGGAGCACTCACTCTCTACCCTCAACAGTGCCGTAAAAACAGGGGAATTGGCGCATCCTCTCTTCTCATCCCTGGCGCCTGTAATGGCAGTGCCTGTTAGACTTGCTGGTAATCAGGGGCTGAGGGGCCATGGGTTGAGTGATGGAGATGGGTTTGGTAGTGGGGTACAGGAGGATGGGGAGGGGGGGGATGATGAGGAAGAGGAAGAGGATGAGTGGGCAGTTTTGCACCTCGGGGGCTCGTTTGCAGGGATAAAACTGAAATCGGGCCAAAGAGCTTTGTGACGAACAAGAATACCATGTCTTGTACAAGAGCTGTATTGTGTGTTTCACTGTAATGAACTGTATTGTAGTGAGAATTGTGGGGCGGAGCACTTCTTAGGGCGTGTCCAGCACGTACGTTTGATTGCGGTTGGGTGAGGTTCCTCGCAGATCAGAAGGGTCGATAACATATTTAAAATGGTTGGGTAGGGTTGTGACCAAAAACATACGCACTGGACATAATGGGATGCGATCTTGTCAACATATATTTGTATATGTTATAGGCTAGATAGGTGCATGCTCATAGAGAGTGCAACTCCTTAGAACAAAACCACCTTGTATCACTCATTCTAGTTCATTGTGTTATTCTAAGCTGGTATCACGCTACCGTAAAAGCCCGGATATAAGACTCATGGGTCTTATCACATACCGCCTAGGAAAAAGGCAGGGTGTCTTATAAATGGAAAAAAGTAGGGTGTTGGGGTGTCTTGTAAACGGAACTTACATAACTTTATCAGAAAAACTCGCAAGCAGTAACACCAGATTCCTTTATAGTGTTTTCATAAAGAGGATGCCACAAAGGGGGTGATATTTTGCGAGAGGGGCGATAATGACAAAGCACACGCGTGATGCAGCTCATGAGTGACGAGGCTGTGCTGGAATCAGGCCCACCTGAATGCTGCGTCACATGTTGCCACTACGAGTGCCAACATCGTGCGCTGGCATCAAGCCCACATGAATGTTGCGTCACATGTTGCCACTAGGAGTGGCAACATTGTGCGGTAGAGGGCATCTTGTCATCCAACAGCCATAGGTGCCTGCCTCAATTGCTCACCACTCATCCCAACCGTTATCTGGTGCACTGTCAACGACGAGCTGCATCTGAAGAATCTCCTCTTCGAATACAGATTCCTCTACGAGGAATCTTTCACCCCTTAGTGGCTTGTGGGAACAGACAGGGGTAGACCCCTCCTCCACTCATTTGCCTCTCTTCAATTTCGAAAATTGCATTTTCGTCCCTCCCCCTAGGCTAGCACAGCGGCTTTCCGTGATGCGTAGCAAGCACCCGCCGCCTTGGAGGGAATCATGTGGCGCCAAGCGCCGAGCAGGCGGAAGTACAGCTCCCTGTGTATACGTGAACATTTTGGGCGCGTAAATTCCCCTGGCGACACCATCAAAGGCCCTGTGCAGCCTGCAAAGAAAATTTATTCCAGTGGTGCGCAGCGACGTGAACCTCCCCTCACGGCATCGAACGACAAGGAGGAGGATGCTGACGAAAAGGTGGATGGATCGGCCTGTGCTCAAGGAGACGACGACGAGGAATGGTGGGCGAAGCCTATCGGCTCTGACGATGAGGTAGAGGAATGGCACGCGGGTGATGATGCGGGCGACGAGTGGGGTGGCGGAGTGGGTGACGATGAGGGGTTCGAGGAAGGCTGCGGAGTGGGTGACGATGCGAGCTTCGAGGACGGCTGTGGTGTGGGAGGCGGTGAGGCAGAGGACGATGCCGACTATGGCGTGCGCGAGGAGGCGGATGATGACTCGGCCGACAAGACGGGCGGCATGTCTGACGAGGACATGCCAATCTTCAAGCGCCGAGTACTGTTCAAGGTGAATGGCACGCGGCAGTGGGTGGTGACAAGTGACGACGAGTCTGGCGGAACGAAGCGGAAGGAGGCAAGTTGTCAATCGCCGTCTAAGCGCCGGCGATACACGAGAGCAGAGAAAGGGAAGCGGAAGGCTCAAGATGCGCGTGAGAGCCCCAAACGGAAGAGACCTGCCAGCAATGCATCACGGAAGACTACGAAACAGACAGCCACTGCTACGATCGACGACGAGCCAGAGGAAGAGAACTCTGATGATGCATACACGGAGGCTGCGGGCCCGATCCCGGTCTTTCTAGAAGGCAAGAGGCCCAAGGATCCGAAGACCAAGAACCCGGACGCCCAACCTCCCTCGCCGCATAGTAGATTCAATAAGAAGGAGAGGCGAAGCTTCACGGTGGGCGAGAAAACTCGGTGGGCGAAGCGCTACTACGAGTTGAAGTCATTGAAGAGGATTGCCTTGGAGGCGCGCGTGGGGCAGTGTTCAATTCGGCGGTGGGTGGAGGCTTCGGAGAAAGGGAGGTACAATGGAGCAGCAAAATGCAGGAAGCGGCTCCATGGTGCAGGGCGACATGCGCATCACCCCGAGATGGAAGAGGCACTCGCCAAGTACATCTGCGAGCAGTGGGCCTTGGGGCTGGCGGTTAGTGTGAACGACATTCGGGAGTGGAGTCGGAAGTGCATGCGCAAGAGTGACCCACGGAGCAAGTGGCAGGGGTCGAATCGCTGGAACCAACGATTTCGGAAGCGGTGGGGATTCACGCTGCGCTGTCGAACGAAGGTTGGGCAAAAGCTATCACAGGGTAAGCTTCCAAATGACCTCAATCCCCCCCCCCCCCCCCCCCTAATTTTTAGCGCTCCCCCTCTGCTCCCTCTATGATCTCTCCTCCTCACGCTCCCCCTCTGCTCCCTCTACAGTATAATCTCTCCTCCTCACGCTCCCTAACTCTCTCTCTCTCTCTCTCTCTCTCTCTCTCTCTCTCTCTCTCTCTCTCTCTCTCTCTCTCTCTCTCTCTCTACAACCTCCCACCCCCCTCCCTCCATTCCTCTCTCCACCCCAAAAACAGAGTGTGCGGCAGACTGCGAGGGGTTTTGGAAGTTCATACGAATCAATCGAGCACGCCATAACTTGGATATGCGGCACATCATTAACGCCGACCAAACTCCACTTTTTGTGGAGATGCCGGCAGAACGGACGATCGACCACAAGGGATCCCGCTCGATGCCCGTGAAGACGGCGGGATACGAGAAGCAGAGGCTAACAGTGATGTTGGCCTGCTCAGCAAACGGGGACAAGCTACGGCCTTGGGTTTGGTTCAAGCGCAAGACCATACCCAAGTGCGAATGTCCAGCCGGTATGCATTCACTTTGGCTTGGGCACAGAATGATGAGCTTGATTATCTGTGCATGTATGGCTAAACAGCAAAGCATATGTTTTACACGGATGTCTAATGCTTAAGAGGTGCAACTGTGTTTGTCTGGCAGGAGTCGAGATGCAGGCCCAAGAGAACGGCTGGATGGACGAGACAGCCATCAGGAAGTGGCTGGAGAAAGGAGGTTCTACCCTTCCTCAACTCGAAGCGAGGGGCCCCAGCTAGACGCGCCATGCTGGTGTTGGATTCGTACCGTGGTCATTTGACTGCCGGGATGAAGCACGCCTACATGACGCACAGCATCGTACCCGCCATCATTCCAGCAGGATGCACCCCACTAATCCAACCCCTAGATGTTTCTGTTAACAGGTGTTTCAGGGCAGGTGTGAGGGCGCGCTACGCAAAGTGGTTTGCGCAGCATGGCATCAACCTGCGGACGGCAAAAGGTAAGGCCGCAAGTCTAAATTCACAACCTGTGCGTGCTTCATGCACTCGTTCTTATCCCTGCGTGTGCCCCTTTTACTCCCAAAACCTATCAGGAAACCTGCGCCGCCCACCCCATCCAGTCGTCCTGAAGTGGATCGACAAAGCTTGGGATGAGGTGCCGCGATACGGCATCGTCCGCGCCTTTAAGACCTGTGGAATTTCAAGCTCACTGGACGGCACGGACAATTACCTCGTTCTGCAGCACATGCGCGGAGAGCCGCCTCTGAATGTCTCTGAAGACATGTCCCTACAAGGGACGAGTGGGGACAACACAGGCTTTGTGGAGGAGCAGGAGCAGGCGGAGGAGGGGGAGGGGGCGGGGGAGGAGGAGGAGGGGGAGGAGGCAAACGACGGGTTGGGTGGGGAAGAGGAGAGAGAGGAGGAGGAGCGGGGGGAGGAGGAGGAGGAGGCGGTGGCAGCTGATGAGGAGAATCCTTACCCTGAGACAGAGAAGTGCCGTGGCGCTGCAGGAGATGCTGAGAAGCTGACAGAGTCTGAGAGCACGGCGAGGCATGCCCGGGGGGTGCGTGATTTCACCAAGGCTCCCCTTGCTGAGGCAGTTGAGGAAGAGACAGGCTGTGATTTTAGTACGATGGAGACATTCGAGGACTTCTATAAAATGAATAATGAGTAGCCTTTTATCCTGGTTATCGAATGCATGCAAAACTATGCTTTCTGTCTACAAAACAAACAGCAAGCAATGTAGGAGGGGGGTCTTATCTCATACCACCACTTGGGTGTCTTATAAACGGGAAGTTCGAATACAAGATAGACGCCTAATTGAAGACCCAGGGTCTTCTATTACTAGGGGGTCTTCTATCCGGGCTTTTACGGTGGGTTAGGTCCCCCTCCCTACATACGTTTCCGCCCCTAGCCCTAGCCCTAGCCCTAGCCCGTGTCCTAGCCGTGTCCTAGCCATGTGCAAGCCCTAGTCGCGCCCGCGCCCTAGCTCTGTCCGCGCCGGCCCCGTTAGTTCGCGCCGGCCCCGCTAATTCGCGCCGGCCCCGTCACTTCGCGCTGGCCCCGTCAGTTCGCGCCGGCCCCACTAGTTCACGCCGGCCCTGCCAGTTCGCACTGGCCCCGTCACTTCGCGCTGGGCCCGTCAGTTCGCGCCGGCCCCGCCGCTTCGCGCTGGCCCGTCAGTTCGCGCCGGCCCCACTAGTTCGCAACGGCCCCGTCACTTCGCGCCGGCCCCACTAGTTCGCACTGGCCCTGTCGCTTCGCGCTGGCCCCGTCACTCCGCGCTGGCCCCGTCAGTTTGCGCCGGCCCCACTAGTTCGCGCCGGCCCCGCTAGTTTGCGCTGCCCCGTCGCTTCGCACTGCCCTGTCAGTTCGTGTCGGCCTCGCTAGTTTGCGCCGGCCCCATCACTTCGCGCCGGCCCCATCACTTCGCGCCGGCCCTGCTCGTCCGCGCTGGCCCCGCTTGTCCGCGTCAGCCCCGTTAGCCCGTGCCGGCCCCGCCACTTTGCACCGGCCCCGCTAGTTTGCGCCGGCCATACCATTTTGCGCCGGCCCTGTCCCTCCGCGCCGGCCTCGCTAGTCCGCACCGGCCCCTCGTTCCGAGCGCCCGCCACTCGACACTCGCTGGCCTATGCTCGCTTGCTGCCCCCTACCTCGCTGGCCCCTGCTCGTATCGGCCCCCGTTTG